AAAACGTAATCTACAGAATATCTAATTACTGAGAAATTGAAGACGTACCAAAACGGTAGTTCTTTGGAGAAATATAAGACAGTTGTATTAGGATTTATACATTAGATATATACATCGATAGAAATAGAGATCTTATTGAACCAAAGCTGACAATTAACATTTAAAGAACATTATTGATGATCGTTTTGTCATTGTCTATAAACTTTTTCTGATAAGTCTTCTAATTGAACGCTAGATTCTAATCCTAAGCTCTTCTATTAACGACCAGGCTCAATCTACACAACAACTTGAACACGAGAGAAAAGATGAGAAATATAAAAGAAACGCTTTATTCCAAGGTTCGTTTGTGTACAGAAAATCTAGGGTATTTATTAGCATTTTAGATGGTTATGGACCTCTATAGAATTCTGAAACGCTACTAAACATAGTAGCAGTATAGGTAAACATCCAATCAGAAACTCGGTATGTGACCTTTGACTCTAGATATTTCTGGCAAAACTTCTATTGAATGCTGATTGCATAAGATGTTTCTCAGAATTTTCAGATCCTTTTTTTGGTGTTTTTCGAGGAATTTCCTGGATCTCATCAACATTTTCTCCACGTATTTCTTGAATATTTACAAGTTTATTGCATAAAAAATTTGAATTTCGCTTCAATACTGCATAATTTATGCTAAGCATTGATTACTAAAATCAAACATTTCAGTCCTGAATAAATCGAATATAATTATTATGTTTATTAGAATCACTGATGAGACCTCTGAGTGACACTAAAGTGACCTTGAGAGTGTCCACCTAATTACTAGTGTGGTGTGTGCTACTTATGTTGACATAAGTAGTATATGACGTTAGTCAGCAACAGAATGTCTGACAGCAGAGAGGCAAGAGAATCGAACAATAAAGAATGGAAACAGAATTCAATTTGTATGAAGATTCAAGAACAATGAAGTCTGAGACATTTTGAGACAATTGATGGTCATTCTGAAAATTGAGCATTTACTATATGGTTGTTAGATTTTATTAACAAGTTCTGTAATTTCCTATTCATTGCATTCGATTATCCCCACTGGTGTACTGTTCACTACACTAGAACTAAATGAGGGTTATTAACCAGTGTGAAGGATTACAATTATGATTCATAGTTAATGGTTTAGGTCAGGAATTAGGTTTTGGGTTTTTGATCCCAAACTGACATCAGCTGTAATGCCGAGACGCTGTTTAGCCAAATGGATGAGTGAATTTCGTGCCGAAATCCAAGACCTCTTATTCTAATTCTTATTTGTTTTGTTTATAAATTATATTCTCACCGTTTTCTCTCTAGTTGAATCACGTGAAATTTATTGTGATTACTTAATGGTTATGAGGGTTTTTCCATTAGGAATACATTCTAGTCAAGTTAATCACGTATTCATGATCTGAGTTGTGTTGAATTCCTGTAGAATAATAGACATTTAGTTATTTATTTATTTTAACACATAGATATTGGTACAAGAAGGCACCAAATACATATGCGCCACACAAATCTCATTTGATATGTGTGAGGGTTGTGATACTGCCCGGGTGCCCAAACTGAAGTAGGTGGTTTTCTTAGGGGGCTACACCCGGAGCCTTCGATATGAAGGTCTGATCCACAAGGCAGTGGAACAACGTAAGGAGATGCAGTCCCATGGTAGCCGGTGACCGATAATTGGTTCATACGCCATTTGTTTCTTTAAAATCCTGGAGCCCATTTACATCATTGGTTTGAAATCATGGTTTCCCAACTCCTCTAGTTGGAACCTCCGTATCCATCAACCCGGTTAAAGTGCCGGACATTCGCTCTTCGTCCACTCATTTTCGTAAACAACACCCCCGCCACGAGAAGGCAGTGAGTAGAACTTCCCTGGCAGAAGCTATGTACGCATGGCCATGTGAGAGCATTTGGAGAGGGAGAGCGGATTCTCCCTACTCTCGGCCATACCAGGGCATTGGGGGGGGCAAACATCAAGACGGAATTTAGTGTAGATATTTGTCTCATTTGTGTAAACATGAAGGGAACTCCGACTGCTATAACACATTTATAGAGTGATTCTTTTTTTTCTTTTTTGTAAATTAAACTATTGCATTTTCAAGTGTACTCAGGTCACATCTCTTCATTCAACTAAACTAGTAGTAAAGGTGAAATAATTAGAGCATAATAAACGTTTAGAGATAATTCATTATTCTATAGATAAGTAATGATATGTATAAACTTCAATTTTTATGTTTGTTTATGTGGAATTTACTATTGATAATAAGTCAAGTTGTCTGTTTCCTCATTAGAATCACCTTTTCAGGGTTTGTGTTTGTATTTCAATGAGTTGGTAAAGGCTTGAAGTGAGAATAATTTATATTCATTTGGTGTTGTTTACTTGTATATTCTTATTGTTATCGGTTTAAGACTGCAATTGATCAGTCTGTTGTTGATATTTTGAAGCGAATAGTACTGGGTTCGAGTCCTACGGTGAATATCAACTCTGATATACCCAGCTAACAAGTCTGAAATTGGACGAAACGTTTATCCTAGATTCCATTGCTAGCCACTATCCATCTTTGCTTAAAGAGAATGAATTACGTTCACTCTTTAATTATTATCATAAATGTACATCATTGGAGTTTCGTAACTGGAGTAAATAGCTGTCCAGTAGTCAGTATTGTTCAGTGGTTGTCTAACTAGAAGCCTAATAATGATCAATTTTCATAGATCCATAATTTTCAATAAATTAGTGTAATCAGTATAATGATGCAGATAGGGGTTTAGTTGTCGCTCTAATGGTAACATCTCAGGTGAAAAACTGGGTGATACGACAATGACAGTCAGTCAGTCAGTCAGTAACAACGTAGGACTTCGTACGTACGTACATCAGTTCGAGTTGCCACATCACATTAGCACAGAGATGCAGTGGTCGATTCAAATCCCGTAGTGGTAGAGGTAATAAGAGTATAAGCAGTAATCAGGAAATTTAGTGTTTGAAGATGTTATTTAAAGGGTATAATCCAGTGAAATAAATTTGGAAAGAGAAAAAAAGAGACAAGGAGGAATAAGCAGATCAAAATTTGGGAGAACACAAAAAGTGGATGCACCTGCGCCATTGCAAACGATTTTGAGCCATGTCATTCAGGGTCTCTTACCATTGGTTTCTATCATCTCGTGGTCCACAACCAGGTAGTCTACACCTATCAACATGACTCAGTCCACTTGTCAGTGACTTCATGGACTTGTGCCATGTTTTGGTCTGGCCGCCCCTAGTATTCTTCCAACCTACTCCTACACCACTGAACATCGCACGTCGAGGCAGTCGGTCGTTGGGCATACGTAACACGTGTCTCAGCCATATCAACTTATGAAACTATGAACTGAACTAGTGGCCTGTGGTTTACCTTCCTTCTGCTGACAGATATAAGTGGTATGTAACACCAATCGAAAGTGGAATGAATGTCAGTAGAAGATTAAGAAGATTCAATCAAAAAGAACAGAAAGGGAAGCAGAGAGAAATTATAATAACAGTAGAATTGTATAAGTCCTGATGAATGTAAAGGACAATTGAAAGAATATATGCAAATAATGTATTTACTGTAGGGTTTTCATATTTTATGAAAGTGCTTTGAGTCTTCTTATCTGAGTGTTCGTTTACTACAGGACAGCTAAGTCTCATTGATTGTATGAATATCTTATAAACATAATTATTTAATTTGATATGAAACATGTCAGCGACTTCAGTAGTATGTATTAAACGTATACGTGTATTATGCAACCAACTGGATGATGATTTATGATAAACTGTTCAAAAATCTTGATTTCATTCAGCTTGATTAAGCTATTGTGATAGTATTGAGAGATCCGATTTTAATCAAAAAATTGTTTTGTTCTAATATAAGACTCATTAATAAGTTGAGCATCAGCTAATCTTCTTAAGGCTAAAATTAATCTTCTATAATCAAATGCTTAGTGAACTAACGACATAATCATGAAATGTCATCATGTGTTCACTGGTGACTGATTACTGGAGGTAATTGCAAGAGTTCTAGTAAGAAGCGGTAACCAGAGGAAGATACTTACTCAATATAGCAAGTTAACTGAATGTAAGAATATAAACTATTGTACACCTATTTATTGGTCAAAAGGTTAAGCACTGTCAACAAGACGTGAAAATACTGAATTCGTTCTCCGGTGAGGTTATGGCAGATCACTTATAAACAGTCCCATAATTTGACAATATAGGTGTTCAATGCTTTATGTTTTTTACACTCTCATTTTAAACTTTAGTTAGAAATTAAATTTAAGTAAATAGACTATTTTATTCGTTTTCAATAGCAGAACTATTGAAGTATATTGATTTTATTGCTGAAAGGACAGAAAACATTTCTATCCAATCCTTCTTATGTTTAGTCTCTGATGACAAACTTCTTTGATATTAGGTGAATATCTTCATATATACTTAAACAAATCGATTCTCTCAGTTCATTTGGAAACTAGTCAATAAATATTGCTTATTTAGTAGTTGAATTCATGAGTTGATTCAAAGTAGACCATTATTGAAGACCTGGAGGCACTGGACGTCCGTTTCGTCTTAAAATAGTACTCCTCAATAATACACAGCCACGATCCCGCACGTGGGATTACTCGAATCCAGGGCCTTTGATCTTCAGCGCGAATGCTTAACATCGTAGACCACTGAGTCGGTATTAAAGGGTGTTCATATCTAACTTCAGTCGATACATTTTCCTGTGAAACCGTTCATTCAATATCTGAGGTAGATATCTGTCTCTACTTGACATGGATTGGACTCTATTGATCAAGGCTTTTAATTAGAACTTCAGGAAATTCATCTTGAAGCTAGTTACTAGTGAGCACATAGGAATTGAAACGATTTATGAACGATCTAGAAGGTATTATTATATCGTAATAAAGAACAAACTGGTTAAAGGTTTTATTGAATTAATTGTACAGTATTTTGTTGTTTTTGTTTTGGTATATTTTAGTTATATCGTTTCTATAAATATACACTTTGAAGTAATTCATTTGTAAATTGGATGATAAAATATGCCTTCACCTACAACACAATCAGGTAAGTCTTACTTACTTGTTGGATAGTAACAGATCGACGTGTTATATGTTTATGCAGTATGATATATATATGTATTATAGAAAATTTCATATGTAGCATACATGTTTATTAGTTTTCATTACCATATTAGATATCAATAGAGTGATAATGGACGAAAGTTAGGTGACTCGAAGTAATCATAGTATCAAATGTAACGAATGAAGACTAAAATGGGAAACAATACATTGAATACACCATATGTACATCTTCCTTAAATTATCACTTACAAACCCTATTGTTCTTTCATTATTGTTGCTTTTTCGAATACCTTCGTTTTTTCCTCCTCTTCTCTCCATTCTCTTCTACTGACAGTAAGAATCGTATTTCTTCAGGTATACTACTTACATATATTCGTATATGTAGCACAAACACAACTATTTATTCAAGTAAACGCTTCTGCGTTACAATCATCAATTTTCAGACTACACTTCATGACTAATATATAGCAGACCTTACATATATCATTAGTCTTATTCGTTTATTAGTTATTGACTTCACGGAATACTGCAATGTAATTGATGGTTGAGCATACTTTCCAACCATTTCATTAAACGAATATCCACTACATCAACTGACTGAAAATGTTTACCTAATCTTGTGTGAAATTTATGTGATATATATATACATATGGCTGGAGGAAGTCATTCAAAAGTTTCTTGCTAATTAATACACTGTACCATGATGTATCAACAGTTTTATAGTAAACGAGTTCTATCTTCACACAACAGAAATAAAATGGTTACAGTCAGTATAAGTGACACATTGCTATTCAAATTACAATCATTTAATCGTAAAATAAATTTCTTTCTTTAAAATGAATAGCAGACATTCAAATATCTTTGAGTCGTGATTATGTTATATTTGGTCTTCGTTGATTACTGTGCCGGAAAAAATAACGCTGATCACTTATACTCGGAACGGGGGACCTCTGCAATTCCCACGATGAGAAAGTAAGAACACAAAGACTGGTATAAGTGAAGATTTATTAGCCCCAAACACTATGGAGACGACGAATCAAATATAGTCTAAAATACACTCATTTATATATTGATTGTACACTCATTTTAATTAATAATTAGGATTAAATCACATACTCAGTTACAACAAATCACTTACTGAGGCATAGTTCATGTCAACTGAATACAAGAATATCGTATATTATACAGAAGAGAATATCATACTGGGAAAACAAATCAAATACTACACTGAATGATCGTCACGTTGAATCAAAACGGATGTTGAATGTTGAATAAAACTCATAATTCAATCGAAAATTGACTTTCCCTTCCATCACATCAGATTATTGTAGACCGAATGTCCTGGGTTCGAGTCCTACATGCAGGATTGTGGATGAGTTCTATTCACGAGTTCCATACTAGGACGAAACGACTATTGAGCACTTCTAGGTTTTCAATCGTAGTCTAACATTTACTAATCATTAAAGTATTTTAGAGTCAGCTTCTTTCAGAATTAATACATTTTACTGACTATATAAGAAACTGATCATTTATTCTTTTAAAAAACAATCTTTCTTTTATACAATAAAACAAAACAAATCATAAAGTCAATGTCGATAATGGTTCGAAATGTGATGATGTCTTGAATAATGGCAATGATATTGAATTCTTGAAAAAACATTTACCACATGTGGATATCGAAACTGGTTTAAAACATCGCAGTGAGTAATTACTACTACTATTACTAATACTACTACTACCACTACTACTACCACTACTACTACCACTACTACTACTACCACTACCACTACCACTACTACTACTACTACCACTACCACTACTAGTACTACTACTACTACTACTACTACTACTACTACTACTACTACTACTACTACTACTACTACTACTACCAATACTACTACTACCAATACTACTAGTAAACTACTAATATTAAGAAATAATGCTTGCGAATCCTATTTTGTCCTCAATTTGCGTGTATGCATGCATTCATATGTAAATTATTGCATGTAGATGTATATATTGATTATGTAATAATGCATACGCTTTTCCTCTGAATTTGATTCATTATAATTCTAGATCGATAGACAAAAAATGTGATTTATTTTTCCTTAAATTATTGACTAATTAAATTCGATAATCAATAAATTAGCCAATTAATTAATTTGTATTATATATTGATTTTAATAATTGATTGGGTACTAAATAATGATCAGTGATATGTTTGTTTAGGTTTTGTTTTAAGCGTTAATCGGATCTTATTGATTAAATTTTTATGTAATTTTATTGGTTGAGATCATGAGTCAAATGAAGCTAGACTATCATGGAAAATGTGGAATCACTGGACGGCTATTTCGTCTTATTGTGGAACTCCTCAGCAGTGCGCATTCACGATCCGGCCTCGTCAGATTCGAACCCAGGACCTATCATTCTCGCGACAACTGAGCCGATATTCAGTGGTGTTAATATCTAAGTTCAAGCAATCCACAAAATTGCGCCACCATTTAGCATTGTCTTCAGTCAGTTACAATCTCACAACAGACGTGGTTGAACTCTACTGATCCCTGCTTCCCACTGGAACTCCAGGATATATCTGTTGGTGGTCTAGCTTCAATTGAATCATGATCTCAACCATTAAAACTACTATAATATCGACAATCCCCTTCTAATAACAAATTCAAATGTGACCACATAATCCGATATTCCGTGGTCAGTGATAATCAACAAGGAATTCGGGACCTATTATTCGACATTCGTCAGCAAGGTGTACTTTTAATCTTGAGGAATTGGTTTTCCTTGGTTGCACAGCTTGCTGAAGAATGTCAAATAGCATCAAACTTAGGTTCAGAGTTTCATCTTTAGCGATCCGAGCATACTAACTTACATTGACTTTGTTTAGGTAATCGCTGAAATCTAGGAACCTGTAAACAGTGTAGAACTTTTCAACAATGTTCATTCTTGATGGATACAGTGAGATCTTAACTATCACACAAGTGAACTGGAATAACATGATTCATATTTCTTATTTTAGTCAATTCATGATAATAATTGAGTATCATTTTACCGTATTTTTCTGAATTTCGATATGACTTGAACTCCACTAGTCATGATTTCTACTTAAATTCTAGATCCATTCTGAAAGGAAAATTACTTTATATCCAAACACGAGTAAATATTCACAATTGATTGATCACTGGATGGTGATCTGTGTCATGTGTGTCAAGTCCTTCTTAGTGCAGGTCGAATCCTATCGACCAATTTACAATGTGACCACTAGTCTAGGTGACTCGACATTGCGTGCACTATGATGAAATAAGATGGTGGATGATAGATAGCTCAGTGGTAACGTCTTTAACTTTCAAGCTGGGTGACATGGGACCGAATCCGTCAGGGAGTACCAGTTTCCTCAAGAATAATACAGATAAACCTTGCTGACGAGAGCCAAGTAGCACAGAACCTGAGTCCAGTGTTTCCTGTTGATTACCTACAACCACCATCTTGAATAAATATTAGACATCAAATATGATAGTAACTAATAATAGAGGAATATCATAAACTGGATCTCAAATCATTGAACTAAAAGTAATTTGCCCATTATAAAATCGAAGTCTTAAGTAACTGATAAATTAACCTTGATCAATTCATTTATCATTTTAAAAAAAAGATTCTAATAGTTCATTCTGTCAAATTGTTTTATATACAGATCTTATTTGACTGATCATCATGATGATCATGATTATGATCATTAACTTAACCCCTTCCTCCCCTTTTGAAAATATTTAACCCATAGAAACTGATTTATTTCAAATACAAAGCAATGAAACTGTTTGTAAAGAAGTGATTTATCTTTTTTTGATTTAACTGTGAGCTCTTCATTAATACTTCTGTTTTATGACCGTATTTATGTAGTTTACGTGAAATTGATTAAAGGAAGAGAAAAAGGTGTTCTATTTAAAATGAAGGATGAAGTTTCAATGTTCATATTTTATGTGCAAACATTGTTTAATTCAAGATCTTAAATTATTAATGAAATGTAGGTTATTTTGCATAAGCCCTTAAATGTCCCGGTATAGGAGAGATTTAAGAAAGTTAACTCTCCCTCTCCAAATGCTCTCACATGGCCACGCGTATACAACCACCACCAGGAAAGTCTTACTCACTGTCTTCTCTCTATGGGGGTGTTGTTTACAAAGTTGAGAGGACAAAAAGCGAATGTCTGGAGCTTTAACCGGGTTGACGGATATTGAGGATCCACCTATGGGAGTTGGAAAACTTCGATTCTGAAGCAATGGTACACATGGGCTCCAGGATCCTAAGGAAACAAATGGCGTATGAATCAATCGTTGGTCACTGGCTAGCATCAGGCTGAATCTTACAACGTTGCTCCATCGCCTTGTAGATCAGATCTTTAGGTTGAAGGCTACGAGTGTGGTTCCCTAAGAGAACCGCCTATTTCTGTCTGAGCACCCGAGCGATATCCTAGCCCTCAGACAAATAAAATGAAATTCGTGTGGCGCATATGTATGTGGTGCCTCTTTCTACCAATATTTATGTTTTCAAATAAATAAATAAGCCCTAAACATTCTGGTATTGATTCCTAAACGAATTATAATAGCACATTATAGAGTTTCATGATGAGATTAAACAGCTCTTCAATACTCTATGGCTTCTTAATTGTTTTCTAATCAAATTCATTCAATGTCTGATATTTAAAGGTAGGCTGCAGGAAGTCCTGAATTTTTATGGTAGCTGGTCTTCGTCAGTATAACGTATGCGATTAGGAGTCATTTAAGCAAGTCATCACATTGCAACTTGATAGATAGGATGCAAAACATTACTAAAAGACTATATGAACGTCACATTGGTCATTAGTCAGTGATAAATCAACTGTTAACGTTTCATCTATACACGAGGCCAATAGAGACTAGAGAATTTCAGCGATAATGTCTCAGATTATGAAGCTGGGTGATTAAGGTTCAGATCCCATGACAAGATTCTTTGAAGTATTGAAATATAAGTTACAGAGCCTAATCACCTGTTTACATTTAATCACCTAGTTCTGGTGTGCTCTAATATATCCTAGTATTATTCTCTGGAGAATTTCATATTGAAACAAAACATCTTTGATGGAGTTTTGTTCTCTGAGCTGGATGGTTTGGTCGTGGAGCTTTCATCGTCATTCTGAACGACATCATCAGCACAAACTTTAAACTACTTGAAGTTTGTGCTGATGATGTTTAGCTCAGAGAACAAAAACTCCAACAAAATCATTCACGTAAGATCCAAATTTTCACTACCATCATAAAGCATCTCTATATAAATGGTAGACAGGATATATACATGATTAATTGTGTCAATCATTAATGTATTGTCCATAAATATTCTTTACTAATGGGGTGTTAGCGTGAATGATCCAAAAACAAAACAAATAACTCAGTAACAAAATTTGTGAAAATTTTTTTATCAGTTAACATGTTAATTATAGAAAATAGTTTAGTAGGGGAAATGAACTTTCTGCCTGTTTTACTTGATCTCTACTCATGTATAACTATGGTTAAATGACCTGAATGAAATAACACTTAGTTGTATATGTATATAGTGATAAGAATGGGTATGAATTTATGCAAGACTAAATTCACCGATTTGACATAAATATTCTAAATGACTTATTTACTTATTTACTTACCTACGCCTGTTACTCCCTATCGAGGAACATAGGCCACCCATCAACATTCACCGTTCAACTCTGTCGTCAACGATTCTTTCCAGCTCTTTCCAGTTGCTATTCAACCTTTGAATGTCTGCTTCCAGTTCCTGATGCAGTGTGTTATTTGGTATTCCTTTTTTCCGTTTTCCTTCAGGATTCCAAGCTAAAGCTTATTTCGTGATGCAGTTTGATGCTTTCTGCAACGGATGTCTTAATCCCATCTATTGTCTTATCCTAACTTCCTTCTCAGTAGGAAGCGGGTTTTTTCTTCACTAGAGTAGGTTGTTCGTGATGTTTTCCGACCAACGGACATTGAGTATCTTGTGTAGACAATTGTTTTTTTGAAGATGATTGTAGTAGTTCTCCACGTTTCAGTTCCGTACAGTAGGACTGTTTCACATAATTTAGAGATCTTGAAACTGAATTTCAACTCTGTTATGATATTCATTTAGAGTAAATGTTTAAGGTTCTTTTCAAACTTTTAATCTGATAGCATAATGAACGGACACTTAGATGGGGACGATCAGTTTATTATTAAATACAAAATTACGGAAAATCTTTATATTCTATATGATTCTTCCAATTCACAACTTCTTTGTATTTCTTCTACTGCCAAGCATTCCACTTCTGATTAGTGTTACCTGCTATACACCACGTATATACTTAGAATTATTCACATAAATTTAATTCAAGTTTTCTTTTTGGAATCACCTTACTTACCAGCAAATCATACTTCTATTCATCCATTTAAATTGTATACTGTCGTGTTGAGTCACTTGGACTGGGACAACTAATTATACTTCAATACAGAATTCCTGTGTTCGTTCATACATTGTTAAAAACCATACATCCAGTAAATCATTTGTAAATCCTTCATCAATTGTCTCGATCTTCATCATTCTTTCATTACTATTATAATTACCCTCTGTTCCTATTCTTTTCAATTCTAACTTTTCAATCTTCTGCTGCCAAACGTTTCACTTCTGACTGATGCTATATACTACTTATGTCTGTCAACATAAGTAATTCCTTACTTACTTACACCTTTTATTCCCAATGGAGTATAGGCTGCCGATCAGCACTCTTCAACCCACTCTGTTCTGGATCTTCCTTTCTAGTTCTTTCCAATTGTTGTTCATTCTTTATATGTCTGTCTCTATATCTCGAAGTAATGTGTCAACATAAGTAGTATACACCTAAAATTACAACTTCATTAATAGAATTTGGATCATCATTAAGAATTAGACAATCAATAATTAGTCAATATAAATCCAAATACCAGTTTCCCCTTATAGCCTTTGATTTCCCATAAAGGGTAGGATGTGAAAAATCGATTGGACTATAATTTATAAAAATCCATTTTGACGTTTTATACTTGATTATAATCGATCAATAATCAGTATCGATTTACCCAAGACTGGTATTACTTTTCTTAAGAAAAAAAAACACTCGAGAAGGAATATTATCGATTGAGGAAGTTAATTATCGATTTTTTTCTTCTGTCTATTTTATTTTATTTATTTATTTAAACACATAAATATTGGTATAAGGAGGTACGAAATAGATATGTGCTACATAAATCATTCAATTTATGTGAGGGCCGGGATACTACCCGTGCACCCAAACTGAAGCACGTGGTTTTTTTAGGGATACACTCCACGAGCATATGACTTAAAGGTTTAATCCACAAGTCAATGAGACAAGATCAGGAGATACCTTACCATGGTTGTTGGTCAACGAGAATAGGTTCTTACGCCATTTGTTCTCTTTGATCATTCGCTTTTCATACTCTCAATCCAGTAAAAAACACCCTCAACACGGGAATGCAGTGAGTAAGATTTCCCTAGTAGTGGCTGTATACGCGTGGCCATGTGAGAGCATTTCCAAAGAGAGAGAGAGCGGACTCTCCTCACTCTCAATTGCATCGAGACATTTGACGGTGAAATGTGGCAACGGAACGTTGCAGTGTGGAAGTGCTGGGTTGACTGAAAATTTGTCCTGTCACTAGGAGACTTAACATCTTGTGACGCATCTCAGATTGTAATGAAAATCACTTCGAATGCAGACACACTCCGTTGATGAGTTCTAAATAGGATGAAAAGTGCTTAGTGGATTCCACTGTTAGCCATTATCCGTCTCTCCTTATGATTCTTGTGATATTTATTCGGTATATCACTGGTTTAGTTTTAAATTGATAGTAATGTTTATGTAATATTTATTCAATATTATAATCGTTTGTATTGATTTATTGTGACATTTACTCGGCGTAATATATGGTTGTACACATTCAGTGTAAAATCCATTTATTTTCTTAATAATTGAAATATGTATCATGTTTTCTGACTAACCATTCATTCTTAGTAAAATTTGTACAGTAATGGGTGTACTTGGTTCATACTTTGTTGCTGTGCTTTTGCATGGTGAATAAAATGTACATATGACAAAAGTTTTTGTCTACTTTCTTGGGTTGTACAATCTCATTTTCTCCCTGTTTAAGTTCAATTTTCAGCTCTATAAATAACCTTAGTAATGATCCGTTTTTGCATTGCTTGTTTGAATCTTCTCATTGATATGTAGGACTTCGATTGATCAGTTTCTTATTGACATATATTCACGCTGTTCGGATTGCCTTGATATTGTCTTAAGTCACCAGCGTTTTAAGCAGAGATGATGGTAGATAGCAGTAGAATACAGTTTGACGCACGTCTCGTCCTATTTCGGGACTCGTTAGCTAGATGTACCTGCATCTCAGAGTTGATGTTCACCACAGGACTGAAATCCAGTATCGTTTGCTACAAATGGCATCGTATTTTCCATCCAAGCGCACATGCCAGTGGCTATCTAGACTCAGCAGCTAAGTAGAAAACGCGATAGTGTTTAAAGCGAACGAAACCGAATTCGAGTCTCGAAGTGAATATCCACTCTAGGATGCAGGTACATCCAGCTGATGTATCCAGAATAGGAAGAGACGCGCTTTCTGGATTCCACGGCTAGTCACCAACCATCTCTAGTAATTATCAATTGAGTGGAAAACCTGGAAGCACTGGATGGTCGTTTCTTCCTATGAATATGCTCTCTAGTGACTGGTTTCAAGAGGTATTTCCTGGAGTTCTAGTGAGAAGCAGTGACCAGTGGAGTTCAACCTGGTCAGCTGTGAGATAGTAACTTATTGAAGACAATGATGGATGTATCGCTCAATATCACGGATTAGTTGAAGTTAAACATTGACACCACTGGATGCCGGCTAAGTGGTCTAGTGACTAAGCGTTCGTTCACGAGACCAGTAAGTCCTTTGTTCGAGTGATCCCACGTATGAGATCATGGATGCTCACTGTTGAGGAGTTTCACAATAGAAAGAAATGGCCGTCCAGTGATACCAGGTTTTTCTATGGTAGTCTAACTTCAACTGTCTTATGATCTCAACTATTTAAATTACCATAATATCCACAAAACTCTTTTCTGATATGATTTTCATTTGTTCCATAACAAATACTGATCAACTGTTAATTAGAAATGATTTTTGCTTTGAATGTATTAAATATTCAATATATTTCAGTATGCTTTTGTTGTATCCCTCGTATACTGTTCATTGTTATGATTTTTAGTTTCAGATCATTAATTTTAATTGTATATAAAGGATTATTGCATTTGAATTACAACCCTTTTTCGCAGTTTTTAGTTCATGGTATTGATAAACATTGATTGGTTTGAAAGGTCTCAAAACAGCTAATATTATCTTACTCATTTATACTATGTACATTGTTATTTTCAATTAGTCAGTAGTTAATTAATAATCTGTTATGTGGTTGGGTTGAAAACTGAGGACTATTCGACAGTTAATTGTTTTTAAGTATGATAGGAATCCTCAGTAGTTTATAAGTGCGATCTCGAAAGTGAACAATGAGGTGCTTGTTGTTAACGTTTTATTTTTAGGTAGTTCCAAAGTATTTATCATAAATGTTTGTAGGGATATAGAAAATGCTTGGAAACACCTTATCTAATGAAAGATGAATGGATACCTACCAGAAGCATTTAAAAATTAAAGTCACATGTGATGTTTCTGATTGGTTATTAATGTATACAGCCACTTTGTTTAGTATGGTTTTTGGAACTTTTAGAAGCTCAGAGTCGTGTGTAACTATGATTATACTAACTTTGGAGTGAAGTGCTCATTTTTTATTTTGAGCCAATTCTTTTGAGTTCAGTTCACCGTTTAGATTTAGCCGGGAGTTATTAGAAGCGTCTCAGAAATCAGATCGAACATTCATTTAACAGACTCGTCGGATACCATGAACGCTATCGGGTAAACATCTAATAGTATGAGTCCCTAACTTTAAAAGATTCATGGTATTCATTCAATATCCTTAGTAACAACTATTTCCTTCCCAACATGTCTGAACTACTCCAGTCATGACTTTTCAGTAGAACTCAAAAAAACATTTTGAAGTTAATGAGTCATATACTAAGATAAAGTAGTTATCCAAAACTACGGTTTCAATGAGCCTCAACTACGATCAATCAGTAGCGAATAAAAATTCGCGAATCTGTGTAAAAGTCCTTCATCTTAATTGATTGTGCAATTGAAATACATAATCATACAAATTATTTCAAGCAATGCTGATTAGCTCCATAATGGATTTTACAAAGGTAATCTAAGATGGTGTAGTCTGTAGAGAGATATCAGTCAATATGGGTATATACTACAACCCTTAATGTTGATTTGGTCATTCTGCAGCCTATACACGGAGTAAATCGCTTAGATGTCTGAAAGTACAAGGAAATATTTATCTAGTGATCTTTGATCCGAAAGTTCTTGAACTATGGCTAACAGTGGGATCCAGCATATGCACTCAGTTCTCTTAAAAAACCGTCAGTAGAATAGATTCACAGTAAAGTGTTTATATTCACAATAAGACTCAAATTTAGTAGTTATTATTTTAAACAAAAAGTTATCATCCTGTAGGTGGCAATTTGTTTATTCTGGCTAGCGTTTTTTGGCAAGGTTTTTTTCTATTAGATTGAGTTGCCGATCTCACACCAGACCCTCCTCTTTAACCTGGGTTTGAGACCAGCAATAACCCTAGAAGAGCTGCAGGCAGAGAATGTTGGTGAGCGGACGATGCTCCACCACGACGGGTAACAAACATAGAGCTAGAAATTTGATGGAAGTCTCATAATTATTTTTCTAATACAAAGGGGTGAATACATTCTCATGTATACTCAATACAAGTAAATTCCTTGATATATATTCATCATGAGAACTATGCATCAATAAACCAAGATATAAATTGATTTTATTACAGCAGTTCAAAGAGATCCAATTACCGGTCTTGGAGCATTACCAAAAGAACATGTTGAACTTGGACGTACAAGAAATGCTTCAACTGGTAGACCGGGTAAGTAACGTATAATAACCGTTTTCTTTAATATAAAATAACTCTTCTAAATACTATTTCCATTGTTTTGTGAAGTATCATAAAGTAGCTAATGAAGGTCGCTTTCATTTGTTTTTATATTGTTGAATTGAATATAGACCAAAGTACATGTAGAATACTTGATAAAACATAAGAACGTATAAGTGTATGTGTAAGATAATGCTTTAGATCAAAGAAATTCCCCTTCGTCTATTATACAACAGAATATGTACTATCGAAAATCTACACTATCTAATTTAGCCAAATTCCGGTTATCTTTTCATGTCAACTTTAATCTAGATGTTAGGAATCGAGGAATTGACATCTGAATAATTTTCATTTTTTTCATTGCATAATGCCTACTAATAACCATATCGTCTCTGATGTTATACAGCGAAATTTCGTAAACACTTCATAACTTGTTGAAATATCTAGATGGTAAGGACAATTTAGTCCAGATATTCAAGCAGGCTGACAATTATCAATTCATTTCATAGAGTTTCTCCACTTAATATTCATCTTTTGAATTGTTCATTTTTAAATTAGTGATTAATCCTTATATAAATCATTTAAATTGAAGTTATGATGGATCGATGTTATAGCATCAAAGATACATAAATCGTTCAAGGAGATCTTTGTTTCATTAGTTGAATTCATGAGTCGATTGAAATTAGACCACCGTGGGCAACTTGTAAACACTGGACGGACGTTTCATCCTAGTATGGGGCTTCTCAGCAGTGTGCGAACACCATCCCGCCTAGTGAGATTCAAACCCAGGATCTATCAGTCTCGTGCGCGAATACTTAGCCACTAGACCACTGAGCCGGTATCCAACTATGCTAATATTGGACTTTAACTGATCCATGATATTGAGCGACACATCCATCATTGTTTTCAATGAGTTAATATCTCACAACAGACCCAGTTGAACTTCACTGGTCACTGCTTCTCACTAGAACTCGAGGAAATATTTCTTAGAGACTGTCACTAGTGAGCATACGATAATTATAATCAGTTAGGGGTTTTGTGGATATTATAGTAAATTGATAGTTGAGATCACGAGTCATTTGATGCTAGATATCAGATATTTATTCTTAAATGACTAATCTATTATGTAATATTCTAGTTTATTTTGAAAGGTTACTGTTGGTTAATAACTTATCAATCTTTTTTGCTTGTTCTTCACCGTTCTCATATTCACTCCCTTGGATACAACAAAGAATTTTCAAGAAATAACATTCAATATACGTTTTATAACTTCCAATTATTTAAACAGATTTACAAACAAAAAACTTTTTCCTCAATAGTTATTAGTGATCATTCAGTTTCAATAGCATAAGTTTAAGACACCGGTAAAATGTTAAACTGACTTTAAGAGTATCCAACTAGTTACTATGATTAAATGAGGGTTATATAATAGTGTGAGGAATTCAAATTATGATTTACGTTTGCTAGTTAGGTTTAGAAATTAGATTTAATGTCACTAGTTAAGATCATGAGTTAATTGATGTTAGACCATCATGAAAAACCTGGTAGAACTGGATGGCCATTTCGTCCTATTGTGGAACTTATCAATAATGTGCATCCACAACCCCGCCTCGTGGGATCACGAAATGATATCATCTAAAAATGCTAAAACTCTATTTAAATAGATGAGTAAATGAATTTCGCACCAAAAACCAAGATCTACTATCTTAAAATCTGATGGATCAATTGAAGATAGACCACCATAAAAACCTAGAAGCACTGGACTGCCGTTTTGTCCTAGTATAAGACACTTCAGCAATGCTCATTCGCAATCGCGCTCTCGGGAGTTCAACCAGATCTGTTGTGAGATAATAACTCAATGAAGACAATGGTTAATGGTGGCGCAATTCTGTAGATTTGTTGAAGTTAGACATTGACACTGTCGGATATCGGCTCAGTGATCTAGAGGTTAAGCGTTCGTTTGTAAGTCCAAAAGTCCTAGGTTTGGATGATCCTATGTGCAGGATCGTAGATACACATTGTTGGGGAGTCCCACACTAGGACGAAACGATTATCCAGTGCGTCTTCCAAGGTTTTCATGACAGTGTAGCTTTAATGAACTTATGAATTCCACTACTGAAATGGCTATTGAAATAACCCCTTTCTAATAATATTACAAATATATTAATTTTTTTTAATTGTTCATACAAATACTACTGAATAGGTCATTAGATTGTTTAGTGATTACTATATCATATCAATTATTAACTGAATTAATATAGTTCTATATATATTGCTAAGTTAACTTCAATTTGATTGACATTAGACATTAGTTACTATACTGAATATAGAATGTCAATACCAAAAAAAAAGAAAAACAAACAAACAACAACAACAAAAAATACACAAATAAAATAAACAATTTTTTGGCGGGAAAAGTGAAATGTTTGTTTTTTTATTTACAATTTAAAGTAGTTTCAGCTGTATTGAATAACGAAAACAATAATAATCATAATAATACAATTGTTTATTGTTTATTATCAGAAGGGGTTTTTGTGGAGATTATAGTAATATTAATAGTTGAATTCATGAGTCAGTTGAAGTTAAACCGCCATGGAAAACGTGGAAGCACTGGACGAGTTCGAATCTCGTGAACCGAGATTGTGGATGCACACTGATGAGGAGTCCCACAGTAGGATGAAACGGCTGTCCAGTGCTTTCAGGTTTTTCATGGTTGTCTAACTTCAATTGACTCATGATATCAACTATTCGTTAAACATGGAATAATATCAAAAGCTATTACGTTTACCTCCTTTGAAATTGTTGTAAACTGTTTAGTTTTTTGAATCAACCTAACGGATGTTAGTTGAACAAGAACAAAAGTGGGTAAATCCGAATGTATTTCAATATAAAATTACAGAATATCTTGGTAAAATCTGAGATCCATACAGCAAGTACTTCATTTATAGTAGGTCAATCAATTGTCTTAGACTTCACTGTCCCTTCATTTCCACAGAAATCATTCCCTGTTCTGGTTCACTTTTCTTCTATCTTCTTAATCTTCTGCTACCGACGAGCATTTCACTTTCGATTTGTGTTACATATACTACTTATATCTATCGACATCAGTAGCACACAGCATAAAATAATCGATAAATTCAAAAGAAAATTGTTTTTTTAAAAGAATCAATCTACATACATTTGATGAATATAAACAATTATGTTTGTCTAGGAGTTAATTAAGTATAGATTCGTAAATAATGACATATTGATATCAATGTCAATGGGAAAATGTCCTCTTTTCTTCTGTTAATTAAAATATGGTGAATCATTAAATTCTAAGTTTTAAAGTGGATAGAATTATAGTTGTTGATCTAAGTTAGACTACTTTTGAAAATCTAGAATCACTGGGCAGGTTTTTGCCTTAGTATGAGATTCGTCAAAAAAGTGCATTGACGATCTCACATGAAGGATTCAAACCCAATCTCCACAAATGTTTATATCGATAAATTCTGATACTAATCAACATATGCTCATTAGTGACTGGCTTCAAGAGATATATCCTGGAGTTCTAGTAAGAAGCAGTGACCAGTGGAGTTCAACTGGGTCTGTTGTGACGTTGTAACTCACTGATGGCAATGGTAGATGTGTCGCTCAATTTCGTGGATTAGTTGAAGTTAGACATTAACACCATTGGATGCAGGTTCAGTGGCCTATAAGTTAGGTATTCGCGCGCAAGACTGACAGGTCCTGGGTTCGAATCCCGCGAGGCGGGACCGTGAATGCGCACCACGGAGAAGTCTCGCAATAGGACGAAACGGCTGTCCAGTGCTTCCAGGTTTTCCATGGTTGTCTAGCTTCAATTGTCTCATGATCCCAACTGTTGAAATTATATGATGATTTATTTATATTTCATGGATGGCTAAAGTTGGTGACATTCAACTAAACATTCACATTTACAAAGTGTTTGTCTACAGAGTCGAGATCGATGAAACAATGATTCAGTTATATCATAAGTTCCTTTCATATACTTACAAAACTTGCTAATTAGATAACTTGGAATATAACATGGCGTTTAATAGTTATTGAAATTCATAGGTGATTATTAATTATTCAAAGATGTTTCTTTAAAACATTGCTCTCATCTATTACAAACTGAGATTTTGTTAACTAAATTGATTAGGAACAGTGTGGCATGAGTCCAATTACTGTGTAGTTTGATATACATTGTTAACTGATGTAAGATTACTGGTTTCAAGTCCTGAAGTGAACATCATCTCTGTGATGCAGGTAAATCGAGCTGACGAGTTCAAAATAGGACAAAATGCGCGTCAAACTGAATTCCACTGCTATTCATTATTTATCTTTGTTTAAAAAGCTTGCGACTTATGGTTATATTAAAGCAGTCCGTACAGGATACACGTATGTCAATAAGAGACTGATCATTTGCGGTCCTAAATAACAATGGGAAGATACAAGTAAAACAACAGCAAGTGAATAATGTAAGATGAGGTTAGAAGAATAAGATGTACTGAACGAGAACATCAGTGGGGACAACCGAATGCGTCTGAATACAAAATTAAAAAATATCTTAGTAAAATCTGAGAATGATACAGTAAATACTTCATTTGCAATATGTCAATCAATTGTCACAAACTTGACTGTTCCTTTTACAAATATCAGTCAATCGTCTCAAACTTCAATGTCCCTGCATTTCTATACCAACTGATTTCAGTTCCGTTCTTTCCTCCTCAATCTTCTTGACCTCCTACTGTCAGACATTATGTCCCTGACTATCGTTATATACTACTTATGTCGATATAAGTAGCTCATACCACAATAAGACATCATGAACTTACTGATTATCAGGACATATATTAACAACCTAATCGGAGTAATTTTCATAATCGATTACTGAAAGTTCAATGTGACAAAGATCAATATAATATGCATTAGAATAGATCAACTCATTGTTTGTGTTTATACGCTACTCTGAATTTCTAAATTGTTCTATACTTTCATCCAGTTATTTCGTTTCATCCTTTTTAACCAGATGTTCTATCAGCATAAGGGTTGTGGAGATTACTAAATTATTGATTAAGATCATGAACCAATTGATGTTAGACCACCATTGAAAACCTGGAAGTACTAAATGTCCGTTTCGTCCTATTGTGGAATTCCTCATCAGTGCGCATCCACGATCTCGATGATTTTAGTCTAGATCTCATCTACTGACATAGAACGATGCGATAATCTAATGTACATTTTATTATATGTGAAAAATATATTCTCATTGATTCATATAATTACAGTGTACTTTTTAAAATTCTCTTTGCTTAACATATAGCTTTCAACACAACATTAATTGCATGGGATATAGATAATGCAACAGTATGTAAGAATAATGGACATACAACTAAGAAGAGTAAACGTAAGTTATTAAACTATTTTTGACCTGAACTTTGTTTATATTACACAATCGATCAATGTTCTTTGTTGGTAGAGAAAACAATCAGGAAAACACTGAACAATTTTTGTGCCTTAGAAACAGTTTGTTATACAGATTAAAATCAATTGAAGGAACTCCGTAATCAGTGGATAGTTATTGTATTGTAATATAGGACTTTTCAATAGTTCCGATCTACAATCCTTCCACCAGTTGAACCTATCTCTTTTATGTCTTGTTAAGAGAGAGCATTAATCTAAGAACATTAATTCGGCATCGAAATCTTCGCATATCTAGAATCAAACAATTTAACGTATTCTGTGTAAGTATTATTTATTCCACTTTGATCAAGAAAGTAGAAACCATCACCAGTTATTGTTTCTCACAAACATTTCAGGAATCCTTTCTAAATTTATGTTCTAGCAAGCAAACAGCTTGATTATAAAATTCAAGCTCTGTTATCTGACTGTTAATCAGTGAACAATGAAGCCAATCTATGACTCTTGGTGGGAATGTACACTTACAACTTTAAACAATACTGATCCCGTTTATCTTGAATGTCTAAATAAATTTTGATTACTGTAATATGGTTCAATAATAAATTCATAATTTAATTCCTTTTGTGTTGGTTGTTGGAATCTTGTTTGAAATTGATCAGTCTCTTACTGACATATGTTCACCTCATTCGGATTGCCTCGATATTACTTTATGTTACAAACATTATAAGTGGAGACGATGGTGGTTAGTAGTTGAATCCAAGATATGGGTTTCGTCCCATTTGAGACTCATCGGCCGAATGTACTTGCGTCAAACTTTACCACGTTGCACAAGCTAGTGGCTAGATGGGCTAAGTAGCTAAGTAAATAATGCGATTTCTTTTGAAATGAACGGCACCGGGTTTGAGTCATATAGTCAAGACAAACTGTAAGATACAGATGACTAGTCCGAAATAGAACGAAACGTGCATTCGGATTCCATTTCTAGCCAACATTATCTCCCCTTATAACTGTTTTGATACGGCTGAGGGTGGGGAGTGTCCGCTCTCCCTCCAGAAATGATCTCACATGGCCACGCTTATACAGCCACTGTCAGGAAAGTCCTACTCACTGCCTCCTCACTGTGGTGGCGGTGTTGTCTACGAAGTTTACAGGACGAAAACGAATGTCCGGAACTTTAACCTGGTTGGTGTACACGAAGGGTCAACGTAGTGAAGATGGAAAACCATGATTCCAAACTAATAGTGTACATGGGCTCCAAAATCCTGAGAGAACGAATGGCGATTGAACATGCTATTGGTCATTGGAAACTATGGGACTGAATCTCCTTACGTTGTCCCACTACCTTGTTGATCATACTTTTAGGGTAAAGAATTTGGTTGTGACCCCGTAAGGAAACCACCTTCTTTGGTTTGGGCACCCGGTCAGTATCACAGCCGACACACAAATCAAGTGACTTTTCATAATCCTATCCTCCTTACCTGTACTTATTTGTCCTAAATTCAATTTATAAGATTCTTTAGTATCATTTAATATTGTCCCTTGAATGGTAGAGTATAAATACGAGAGATGAATACAAAAACTAAAAACTAATCTGGCAAGTGAAACGTTTGTTGTTGTTGTTGATCAAAATGAATAGAATAAACTGAAATGTCAAATTATTTATAATTATGCATGTACATATGTTTGTATGTATATGCCTTTAATATATTTTGTCCGTTTGAACATTTTTATAGTGTACAGTGATTCAGACAGTAATAGGAAACAATAAGAATGTTGTTTTCATTGAATAGTAGTGTTAATACATCAATCAATAAACCATAGCATAACTAATTGCTTAGTGTAATATCAGAGCAAGGTCCGAAATCTGATATTGATATACGGTAAGCTACGCGCTAATGAACCAAATTACTACTTAAGCAAGAACATAAGAATGAAGGAGAAAGTGTATTGGACTGCTGAATGAAATTAACACATACTGATTTATATATATATATATACTACACAATCCTTTGAAAATTGACTCACAGACCCCAATCAAATGCACTTGACTTTGAGGTCACTTTTGCCTGTTATCAACTGACCTTATGCTGCTTTTATGTGAAAATTATACTTGACTACTCTTTAAACATTGAAATTTTGATAACGACCAATTGTCCTGAATTGACTTAAAACGTTTTTATGAGTTAAACATTGGAATTATTTCAGTTGATTTCATTTATTCCTTCTGAACTAAATTAGTTAAGTTAGACATTTCTTTACAGTCAATTCCGTTTGTTACATTCCGAAATTCTTAATCCTTTCAATTACTGAGTTGATTGGTGAGACTATAATTTATGGACAACCTTTGAGAAACACTGGAGTGACCTTGAGAGTGTTCACCTAATAACTAGAACTAAATGAGGATTATAAACCAGTATGGAGAATTAGAATTATGATTTACAGTTGATGTTTAAGGTTAGGAATTAGGTTTTGGGTTTTCTTCACATAATTACATCAGCTATAATGCCGAAACTCTATTTAGCCAAATGGATGAGTGGATTTCGTGCCAAAATCCGAGACCTCTTGTTGTGGACGTTAAGTTCCCAGAACTCACTTGGAAATGGACCTAATTTTGTAACTTTATTTAGAAAATTTGAATTTCTTTGTTTTCGCCCCAAAAGTAATCTTTTCACATTCACATCGTATTTCTCACTTGGGAAAATCTTAAACGCGGTTGGTCCGTTGTGTCTATTAGTATGCTATTTTGTAATCCTTCACAAGGACGGTTTTGTGCTGTATATATACGTGTTGTTTGTGTCTCTTGTTATCGCTCGTGCTTCTGGCTTTTTTCGGAATATACTTCCGCGTTCGGACTTTGACTTCTCTTTCTAGTTAGCGGGGCTGGGATGCAATAGAATAGCTAGTTTATTAGTCTTTGGTCACAAGTCTTTGTTCTATTCCCGATCTAAGTGAACTCGTAACCGCTTCAAACCTAGCATCGTTAGTCTAAGGTTTAACTGAACAGAAATTAGATCTAACAACTAATTACTGTTGAAAAAATCATCTTTATATCCTTTCATGATCATTTATGTTTACCATTTATTGTAGAACCAACACGTAATCCAATCGCTTTAACTGGTGATCTTGGTGATGAAGTTGATAGATTGCGTACAACTAATGGTTCACGTAGTGGAACTCCTCGAGAACGTAAGTCTTGTTTATATTTACTGAAAGGGAAAAAATGTTAACAGTCATAATAATTAATAGTAATTCCTATCAAAATGCATATAATTATCATTACTGTTCTTATGAAGAAAGGAGCATTAAACACTACCCAATTGAATGTCACAAAAATTATGTCAAATAGTTAATGAATCTGTAAAGTGTAACACTTGAAAAATAGTGTAATGAACAATTAATAAATAAAACTGTAAGTAAGCAAAGATGGATAGTGGCTAACAGTGCAATTCAGGATGTGCGTTTCGTCCTATTTGGGACACATCAGCTTGAAGTACTGCATCCAAGAATTGATGTTCACTCCGGGACTTCATCTAACTATGCTTATAAAGCTTGTAACTGAAAGAAATCCTCATAGAATGCACAAGAATGTCAACAAGAAACTGTTCATTTACTGTCTTAAACCAGTAACAATGGGAAGATACAAGCAAACAATGATAAGTGAATTTAACCTTCACCCTATTTCACAAGCTAGTGACTATCAGGAATCAGTCGATAAGTCGATAACGCGATGGTAGCGAACGGTGCCAATTCGACTCTCGGAGTGAACATCAACTCTGGGATGCAGATATATCCAGCTGACGAGTCCAAAATAGGACGAAATGCGCGTCAAACTGGATTCCACTGTTAGCTACTATCCATCGTTGCTTATAAAGCAGTATCGAGGCACTCCGCACAAGATGCACATATGTCAACAACAGAGTGATCATTTGCAGTCCTAAATAACAATGGGAAAATACAAGCAAACAGTAAATAGTTACTTGGGTTTTTCTGGAAAAACATGAAGTTTTCTCCTTCTTAAATACATGGTGGCTTTATCTCAAATTATTATCCAATGGAATATCTGTCATTTATATTTCCGAAAAGATTTTGCTCTGGTCATGGGTTTAAAGAAAAACATGACTTTACTTGATTTTGTACAGTATGCTTATATTCTAGAATACACTGCTCTGTCCAATAAATATGTGTACTAAAGTCATAATAGTTATACTGCATAAACTTCCACGAACATAAGTCGTTGTTTCATTACACATCACTTCTCATTTGTCACAATACATTTGTTCTATCTTGTTTCGACTGTCATCGAACGTTCTGAGGAGTCCAACTTCTCAATTTTCCTGGCATTGCAACATCCTTTCTATAGTGACGTTTATCACTGAAATATCTGTTCCGTTTAAAAAGAGTACCTTTTCAGTAAGTTAAACAACCGTAAACATTGGATAAAATTTGTTGAAAATTTCTCTCAAGTATCACTAAAGACTTAATATTCAATCATCGTTCTATCTGTTCATCAATCTTTGTTATCTACAGAAGCAAAGAAAATGATCTGGTTTTCACCATTTTAGGATGATAAACAATTTTTAAAGCAGACTATGTACATAGGTCATTAGCTATGTATTTCTCATGAAACCACAGGCAAAGACTGACTTTTCTAGAATGAAAGACAAAATAACGAACCGGGCAAAAAATATCACTGTGTGTCTTCAGCCCACATAGTATTAGGAATGAAAGTGTACTTGAGCTATTATAGGTGAATCATTTATCTAATCAATCACTGTTTACTGTCTGAATCATTTTGCATATGTATGTATAGTGTAAGCACAGTATCATCTTCCTTTGCGTACTTGACTTGTTGTAGTGTATCTATAATTATATAACAAACTCATAGTATAGCCAAATTTTGATTCCTGAGTCAGTAACAGCAATAATAAAATTTCATCATAAAACCTGAATGTTTCAGACTATCACCCCATCTGTCATTTTATTTTAGAAAATAGCTAAGGGAAGCAAAACATTAATGAAGTGTGTTAGGGTAAAACAACTTTCCTCGGTACTCTAGCTGACATAATTTACTAGTAATAAAAAAATAAAAATCGCACACTTTTTTCGGTTTTGCTCCACGCGTACGCAGCCACTGTCGGAAAAGTCCTATACACTGCCTTCTCGTGGAGGGGGGGATTTGCTTATGAAATTGAGACGAAGACTGGGGAACGTCCGCTGCCCTATCCGGTTTGGTGGATTTCGACGATCCATCTAGGGTAGTTGGAAAACGATGATTCCCAACTATTGGTGCACATAGGCTCCAGGATCTTACAGAAACAACCAAATATTATGCCGAGTAAATGTCACAATAAATCAATACAAACGATTATAATATTGAATAAACATTACTATCAATTTAAAACTAAACCAATGATATACTGAATAAATATCACAAGAATCATAAGGAGAGACGGATAATGGCTAACAGTGGAATCCACTAAGCACTTTTCATCCTATTTAGAACTCATCAACGGAGTGTGTCTGCATTCGAAGTGATTTTCATTACAATCTGAGATGCGTCACAAAATATTAAGTCTTCTAGCGACAGGACAAATTTTCAGTCAACCCAGCACTTCCACACTGCAACATTCCGTTGCCACATTTCACCGTCAAATGTCTTGATGCAATTGAGAGTGAGGAGAGTCCGCTCTCTCTCTCTTTGGAAATGCTGTCACACGGCCACGCGTATACAGCCACTACTAGGGAAATCCTACTCACTGCATTCCCGTGTTGAGGGTGTTTTTTACTGGATTGAGAGTATGAAAAGCGAATGACCAGAGCTTTAATTGGGTTTGTGGATATGGGGGACCCACTTGGAGTAGTTGGAGAATCCTGATTCTAAATCATTGGTGCACATGATCTACGGGATCCAGAGAGAATAAATGGCGTAAGAACCTATTCTCGTTGACCAACTATCATGGGAGTGTATCTCCTGATTTTATCTCACTGACTTGTGGATTAAACCTTTAAGTCATATACTCGTGGAGTGTATCCCTAGGAAAACCACATGCTTCGGTTTGGGTGCTCCCAGACCTTACATAAATCGAATGATTTCTATGACGCATATATATATTTGGTACCTTCTTGTATAAATGTTTATATAAATAATAAATAATCACCATCCAAAATTCTAATCAAAATATAATCAGAACTGATTGTCACTAACATAATTCACAATGATACAACACATTCCTTGCTTTGTCAACAATCCACTCAGTATTAAGAGGGGGAAAAAAACACAATGAAACTATAGAAAAACGTTTCATACCTGATGGTTACTGTGATTGAAACCAAGAAAAAAAAACATTTACGAATTGTTTGTACATTTTCTACATACCGAATAAAACAAACAAAAAAACCCATCTACATTGAAATCGATACCATTAAGATCAATAATTCAATTTAATTGGTTACCATTTCAATGAGATTATACTGGGATACTGAAATTAGTAGTCAATTCATTTTGATCAATATACAAAGAGAATAATTTTGTTGTTGTTGTTGGAGATTACGAAATGTTCATTATATTTCAAGATTGAAATGAATGATGATCATTTGTAGACTAATGTTATAGTTTGAATGTCGACTGTTGATAGTTCTCTAAGTGAAATAAAATAATGGATCAGACTATTGAACTGATTGAATGATACAAGGGATAGTTAGTCAATCATGGACAGCATAGAGTTTGGAATATCTTGGTATCTAAGTAACAACATTACATTTACTCATTTAGATAAAATCGTTACTGAAAACCCCAGAGTAGTAGTATGAATAATAATAGTAAAAATCGGTATTAGAAAGGATTAGGAAAAGACGACATGATACGAAAATACTTGGTTCTCTGATTGGATCTGAAAGTTTCTGTTGTTCATCACTGTGTGAAGTTGTGAACGCCCACTGTCAGAGAAATTTACACTGTAATTAAAAATTCGTGTGACACATCTTTTAGCACTTACTTTTATCCATTATGTTTAAAAAAGATATTTCTATTACGATAATGACAGAAAATTCATATGAAAATTAACCAACTGAGTATATTACCTTATTACAACTTATTAGAGAAACTATCGATCCAGTAGAGAGTGATCAGTGCCTTCTCGTGGCATTATTGTTGTTTGCGAAATTGAGAGAAGGAAAATCGAATGTTCGGTGCTTTAACCGGGTTGATGGATATGGAGGATCCACCTGAGGGTGTTGAAAAACCATGATTCCAACCTAATGGCGTATATGAGTTCTAGGATCTTGAAGGAGGAAATGGCGTGTGAACCAATCGTTGGTCACCGGCTGCCGTGAGACTGCATCTCCTGATGTTGCCCGACTGCCTTGTGGATCAAACCCTTAGTTTGAACGGTCCTTGTGTGGCCCCCTAAGTAAACAACCTAATTCAGTTTGGGTACCCAGACAGTATCTCAGCCCACACACAAATCAACTGATTTGTGTGGTGCATATGTATTGGATGTACCTTTGTACCAATATTTTGTACCAATATCTTTTTCAGTCTATTCGAATACCGAAAGGATACCATAGATATACACGTAAACCAATTAAATAAAAATACAAAGATACTAAACATAATCCAAGCGTTTACCAAATCTAGTTACTTTTACACATTCATATTCCACTTTTCTTCAGTTGATGGAGAAGACTTGTAACTCAGGTGGATGATTTTAATGAAGTTTTGTTCTCTGAGCTGAATGGAATAGTTGTAGAGCTTCCATCGTTCTTCTGAACAACATCATCATAAAAAACATGAACCTGAAGTTTGAGACAATAAAAATTCATCAAAAACTTTTCCTCAATCTTTTACCTTAAATTTACATTGTCAATTAGACGATACAAAAAATTGCGCTACCGCACACCATTGTTTTCAGTGAGCTGATATCTCACAACAGACCTGGTTGGATGCGCACTTCTAAGGAGTCATATACTAGGACGTCCAATGCTTCTAAGTTTCCCATGGTCGTCTAATTTCAATTCACTCATGATTTGAACTATTGAAATTGATAAAATCTCCACAACACCCCTTCTGATAAGTCATTTGCTCACTAGTGACTGACTTAAAGATGTATTTCCTGGATTTCTAGTGAAAAGCAGTGACCAGTGGAGTTCAACCAGGTCTGTTGTGAGATATTAGCTCATTGAAGACAATGGTGTACGACGGCGCAATTTCGTCGATTAGTTGAACTTTGACATTAACATTATTGGATGTCAGCTTAGTGGTCTAATGGTTAAGCGCTCGCGTGCGAGACTGATAGGTCTTGTGATTGAATCTCGCAGTGGGAGAGATGGGATCTTGAATGAGCACTACTGCGGAGTCCTATACCAAGACAAAACAGCCGTCCAGTGCTTCCAAGTTGTTCATAGTGATCTAACTTCAATTGACTCATGATTTCAACTATTGAAATTACTACAATCTCCACAAAACCCCTTCTGATAATTAGATTATACATTAGCTTTGATTAGAATGACTCATTGAGTCTTTGAGTTGTTTATTTATCTATGAAAAAAATGATTCATCAACATCATTGACAAACGAGCATAAATTGCTTGTTTGTTTTTCAAAGAAGAAAAAAACAGAGAGAAAGAAAGAGGGAAAAAAGGAGAAAGAAAACATCCATGTAACCAACCAATCCGTTTCAAATATTTGATTCATTTATTCGGTTTTCTTATTCAAATGGTCATGGTTATTCATTATTGATTCATTGAAACTAATTTCATTTCTTTTTCCCAGACAAATTGAATAATAGAGAAGATAAAAAAGCTGTAGGCGAAATAGGAAACTTACTGTCTGAATACGATTTTATGGAAATTGTAGTAATTTTTAGTGATTGATTTAAGTTAGACCACCTTGAGAAACCTAGAAGTAGTGGTTAACTATTTCGTCCTAGTATGGGACTCGTGAACAGTGAGCATCCACGATCTTGTACGCGGGATTCGGACCTAGGAACTTCGGTCTCGTGTGCGAACGCTTAACCTCTACGGTGTTAATGTCTACCTTCAACCAATTCACTATATTGTACAACTGTTCATCATTATCTTTAGTCAGTAACTGCCTGACAACAGACATGTTTTGACTCCATTGGTTACAACTACTCATTAGAACTCTAGGAAACACATCTTGAAGCCAGTTACTTACTGTTTATTTTCTCTTGTCTTTTCAGTTTGTACTTTTAACCATTAAGAATTATTGAAGCATCTATAAACTTTAACACTATTTACATTGACTAATCTTCAATGAATGGAATATTCACTGCTATGATGTGGAATATATTGACAAGTGAACTGGAAATTTTATTATTTCAGTAACTCAGTGTTAAGAATCAGTATCATATGAAATGTCAATTTATATAAGTAGTAGTCTTCTGAACATATTCGACTACATAGTGCATTGTTAAGAATGGGTATACATAATCAAAGAAATTGCTTCCATCATATTTTCAAATAATGAACGAATAAAGTTAAAACAATATGATGAATAAACAAGTAGATCATCTTTAGTAAATTGTTGAAACTATTATCAGTAGTAAATTCACTTGGTATTACTTTTACATGAATCTTCTCATTGATGATTACGACTGCACTTGATCAGTCTCTTACTGGCATATGTGCATACTGTGCGCATTGCAAGTGGCTATCAGGACTCAGTAGCTAAGTGGATAATGCGATGTCATTTGAAACAAACGGTATTGGATTCAGTCCCTGAAGTGAACATCCACTTTAGGGTTCAGGTACATCCAGCTGATGAGTCTCAAACAGGATGAAACGCGCGCCCGGATTCCACTGCTTATATTATCAGTAATGTCTTAGTCTAGAAAATTTTATTAGTGACAGCTATTTCGCTGTTGATTTCTAGAATGTATCAGACCGAGATAGATTTTTTTTGTTTTCTCCGTATAGGTTTTACCCCCTTAAGGTTTCTGAATTGTCTAGAAGCATGGACAAACTTCCTCATTATTCACTAGTTTCAACCTTTGTAGATAAGAAAACATGTGAATAATGATTTTTAGGCACGTATGATCCAAATCAATGACTCAACTGTTAAAATTAAATTCTAATTCCTGATAGGGATTGGAAATTCGTTCATTGATATATGTAGTCGTCATGTTGACATTCCTTAAATATTGTCTTCAGCTGTGAGGTGTACGATTTCAGGGCTGACCTTTTCTAACTCCATCCTTCCTTGTGAGAAGGCAGCATCACTTTTATGCTGGTTGTCTGAAGAAAACACCTTACTGCCGTCACACATCTGTACAGTTAGCAGTACGACTTTGCCTTCGCACTTTGGATTTGCTGCTTTTATTCTTACTGCTCTTCAACAGACCTGTCTGGCATGGTAGGACCTTGAGGAATGGTTGTTCCAGCTAATATAGCTCAACTGGTTCATTACAATAAGCAAACGCGACCACCAAGTCAAGGTAGCAGTAACGGTCAGGACAGAAGATCACATTAGTACAGTTGCTAACATTCTCTGTTATAAACGGAATACACCCATTATGACACTAAATAAGAAAGAAAGATTAGTTCAGCGAAGAGTTCTCTTTTCGGCGAATTCATTTTCAAAGCTGTACAATCGCAAATATACAGACTTATTTTACAGGATGATAATAATACTGATAATAAACTTCTGTTATACATGGTGACAGTGAGGTTAAATAAACAAAGGTATTAGAAAGAAAAATTTTAAAAACAAGGAAAGTTTGATAGTTAATGGCTTAATTATTCATCGGGTAAGGATGGCTCAGCCTGATAAAATAACACAAAATGTTTAAACAGAGATGAAATGTAATCGGAATGATCGTGGAAATAAAAACAAACCGGTTGGGGGTAGAAGATTTGAAGGGAAGATGGAAGGTGAAGCAGGTGGCTGTAAAGGAACAAGAGTATGAAGAAAGAGAAAAAAAATTTTAATACATTAAGACCATGGTAAAAGAAGAGGTTGTACCAGTCTCTTTTGTACACATAATTCTGGTTTTTCAAAATGTATGGCTATTGCCTCGGCATTGCAAAGAAGATGCAGTCTAATTGTCTTAGGAAGGCTTCTACTTACCTTGTAGATGACTTTGATTTAAGAGTCTGTCTTCATTGAATGACCTGTGTTCACAAGGTGTTCGATTATAGAACTTCTTATTGAGCCGTTGCCTCCTCTTCTCTGTTGTGTTTTAAATGTTATGCTAAGTATACTTGATAACTCTTCATCTCATTTTCTCCTTATTGTATATTGAATTGTGCATGTTTCATCTCCCATTGTACTTGAAGTTTATCTCTTTTTCTGTTTCTCATTCTGTCAGTTTTCTCTCTGGTTGTGCTAATGTGAAAGTTGATGACTCACACTACGGTACATTCCCACTAGGCCCTACATCGATGATAAAGAACTGTCTGAAATGGATGTAAACGTCAAAAGGAATGTTTGGGTGATTAGAATGTTAGGGACTTTAAATAATACTGTGAAATCATTTTCAATTTATTCCCGAAATTAGTTGAAGTAATTTATTTGTATTAGAGTCCCTTAGCTGTATGGCTTCGCTGGGTAATTTCCATTATTGTCCTGGTTAATCATACCATAAGTGACTGCTTAAAATGTAATTAAATATTTTGAAATAATTTCATAAGTACCTTAGTAATAGGTTCGTTAACATTATGTGAAACATCCATTCGGTCAAACAAGATCATTTCAGCACTGAAAGGTTTGAGTAGGTTGGTCAGTTTGATAACTTATATCACGGAATGACATTGGATAAGTACTGGGAATAATTATGTACTGGACAACTTTTTAAAGAGGTACTTACTGGAGGTTTAGCGACGGGCCATGATTAATTAATTTCGACTGCACTAAGAGTGAAGTTGTCATTCACCGATGAAATTGAATGATGACTGCTCAATATTGTTCGTTGATTTAAATTAGCAATACAAATCATTGGGGGCTAACTTAGTGATATAAGGCTTAGGCACATTATGAGATCTGATGGTCATGGGGTCAATCTCCGATGTGACCGCGGATTCAGGTTACTGAAAAATTCTACACTACGGCTAAATAGCTATTCTGTACTTTCTTCTTTTCAATGGTTGGCTAAGTTCTATCTGTCATGTAAACCATGAAAGGTTACTTCACTTGGTTTATTTTAATGGTAAACCATAGTTTGTTAGAACTATTGTGTTATCATTTACTTTTTGAAAAGAATATTGTTTATAAATGATCAGCTTGTTTATGATTCACATAACTAGCTGATCTGTATGATTTACAATGATCTTTTCATAACGTTCAGCACGTTAGAGTCTGGGTTGTAATCAACAATCGTGTCCCTATGACTGTTGTTTTTTGCACTGACTTTTTGTGCACTATCCTCATTCTACAAGTATTACTGAGTATCAATGACTTGTTGCTATAATATTTTTCATGTATACATATATTCGAATCGCTTCCAATGTGAATCATAATGGATACTGATTATACTCGTTTATTTTTCGTTATTACCAATAACGACTTCTTTACATAATGGTATCCTTTGTACATATATCTATAGCACAACGTGATCCCATTTCTGGGAGAGGAAATTTTGGTGATCGTGAATGGGATCCAATTGGTAGATATAATGGAAAAACTAGACGAGCCAAAAGTTCTACTGGTAAGATTTCCCAAATTTTCTTTTAATTGTGATCATGAACTGATTGATGTTAGACCACCATTAAAGAAAATACTAAGAAGTACTGGATGGCAGTTTCATCAAGTTGTGGGACTCTTCGACAGTGTGCATCTACAATTCGGCTTGCGGAATTTGAATCCAGGGTCTTCGATCTGGTGTGTGAATGTTAGTCATCTTTCATTGTACAATAAGGTTAAATTCTAATTAGAATGTACAATTCGTCTTAAAAGAAAGAAACTGTATTTGTTTATTGAATTAAAGTTTAAATAAAATAGTTTAATGAATTTGCTAAAGAACCTAATTTTAATTTTTATGCCTCAAAATGACCTCCATTCAAAGTTAACTGTGTAACTATGAAACGTTGAGATAATTTATATCATTCTAAAAGGTTGTTTATAGTCAGTCAGTCAGTCAGTCAGCTACAACGTAGGACCAAGCACATATATGCATCGGTCCAAGTAGCCATACAAAGAACTTCAAAATGAATATAAAGATGATTTGGTTGATATTTAGTGAGAAATTATTTATTCTATTTCTATTTGAACACATAAATATTGATACGAAGAAACATCGAATAAATATGTGGCATACAAGTCAGTTGATTTGTGTGTGGGCTGTCATGATCCCTAGGTGTCCAGACCGAAGCAGGTAGTTGTCTTAAGAGGGCCACGCTCGGAAACTTTAACCTAAAGGTCTGATCCATAAGGCAGTGGAGAAACGTTAGGAGATGAAGTTCCATGTTAGCCGTTGACCAATAACTAATTCATACGCCATTTGTTCCTTATGGATCCTGGAGCCTATATACATCATTGGTTTGGAATCAGAGTTTTCCAACTACCCTAGGTGGGTCCTCTATATTCACCAACCCAGTTAAAGCGTTGGAAATTCGCTTTTCGTCCTCTCAATTTCATAAACAACACCCCCACCACCTTTAGGAGGCAGTGAGTAGGACTTCCCTGACTGAGTGGCTATGTGAGAGCATTTCGAGATAGAGAGAGTTGACTCTTCCAACCCTCGGCCGTACCAGGGAATTTAGGGAAGGGACAAATTAAAGTTTACCAGGTGTACTACCCCACAGACTATAAAGAATTCTTTAGAGTGTGCCAGAAAAGTATTTAAAATCTGGGCAAATGTTGAAGTTATTTCATTATTCAAAGTTTGAAAGGAAGTTCCTAGAATGTTCTTGAGAAATGATAGATCATTTGTTATATCTGGATTGAACAGTTAATTATGCGTGGATGGTTCTAGTACCTGTAAGGTATTAAGGTCACACACAAGATTTTAAATTTACTTTACTTCTGTGCCTAAATTAACCTCAGAAAGTTTTCTTTGTATCGTATTTCCCACCTTTAGTTTTCTTTTCAAGGGTTTAAGTGTAGCAAAGGTCTGGGGAACTAGAAATTCTTAAGAAGTTAGTGTCAAGAGTTCATGTGCTAAAGGTTTACATAATTTATGAAACAACTTGTTAGTTTAATGTTCATTATTTGAGTGACTTTTATTTGGATGTCCTGATCATCTGTAACTCGCAAAGCTCGAAAACATCTGAAGTAAAGCATTTTAAATAATCTAAATTATTTTTTCTGGTTAGCGTTTTTTAGTGAGTTAGTTTTTTTACGGGATGAGGTCACTAACCTCACGCCTAACCCCCCTTTTTTTGTTCGGACTTGAGACTGGCAGGAGCCCTAGAGGGGTCCTGGGCGGAGTTGGAGTAAAGCAGTCGTAACTCAATAATGAAAGTGAATAATTGTCCAGTTTTATCCCTAAATTGTTTTATTTAACTGTCAGTGATTTTATCTGACTTTAAGATGGTGGATAAGATTTAGTAGTTTAGATCGATCATTTTGGTAAAGTTTCTTACTCTGAGTTGGTTAGTATGATCGTAGAGTTTTCATTATTATTCTGAACATTATCATCAGCATAAACTTCACGTAGAAGTGAAGTATTCAACTTCCTTAAAATATGACTAATGTCTTATCGACCTTAATCATGATTTGTTCTTATTGACCTTTATTCTGTCATTTTCCGGTTAGCGTTTTTTTAGCGAGTTAGTTTTCTACGGGATATGGTCGCTAACTCCATGCCCGACCCTTCTCTTTTATCCGGGTATGGGACCGGAAGTAGCCTCAGAGGGGCTTCAGAAGAAGTTTTAATCTGTCATGATTATTCTGACTGTTTAATAAATTGGATCGATTTCTACATGCTTACTAATTGTTGATTGAGCTGACTATCATGCTTCTAAAAATTCTCTGATGTTCTTAATATTCCATACATTCAAGATTTCAACATTTTTCCAGTCTAATCTTACCTGACTGTGTGAATAAAGATAAACGAGGCAGGTGGCGAACTTGTCAAAACTCAAAACTTTTAGCCATATACTTATGAGTTATTCTAAAGCTGAAAACAAATGATAAGCCTTTGTGACCAGGTCAAGTTGATTGTAGAATACTATGCCATTATTCAGTCAGTGATCTTTAGTGCTGTTCAAGGTATGAGGGCATTTATCACTTCCCGGTCGCCCTCATCGTGCAAACATTTTTCTAGAAGTACATGAAAAGGAAATTAGATTAGAGGTGGGCTTAGTGATTTGATAGCATAGCCACAGTGCCCAAGTGACAGTTACTTGAGGCCGGTCACACACTACGTTTTTGTGATTAATTTTCGTTCTAGCACATAATTAACCTTAGGAAAACTTCATCTTAGGAAGGGTGCTATAACTTGTATTTGTTTTTATGAGATTTTTCATGATTTTTCAATGAAATATCTGTTTATTACATTCCGAATTTATAAAACTTTATAGATTTTAGTATGATAGTTTCTTGTGGATAATCCATTTTCGAAGCTTATGAACCCATCATTGTTAAACCACTAGTGAAGACCTAGAAGCACTGGATAACCGTTTTGTCCTACTATGCGACTCCTCAGTGGTAAGCACCCACGATCCCGCACATGGGGTTCGAACCAAGGGCCTTCGGACTCACACTCAAACGCTTAAACTTGAGACCATTGAACTGGTATTCACTAGTGTTAATATATAATTTCAATTAATCCACCATATTTCGCGAGAATCTTCCATTTTCTTCGACAAACAAACTGCTTCATACCAGGCACAGTTGAAGTCTACTAATCGAAGCTCGTCACTAGAACTTCGAGAATTTTCTGTTGAGATTACAGCTTACTTAAAAAGTATATAAGTAGTATAAAATATTCTACAAAATTAAGTGCACAGATTATGAATGTTTTTAATTACCTTTAATGTTTTATGATTAATTAGGTATTAGAACTAATCCATTAACTGGTGAAAATGTGAAAACTTTCACTGTCATGGCAGAGGAAAGATGTACAAATAAAGAAAATGGTGTGTGCAAACGAAATGGTAAATAATTTTTATTCTTATTTCGTATCCCATAGTTTGATTATAGAATGTTGATAGTTAAACAGTTTGAACGAGATTTGTGAATATTATCACTTCATTATTGTTATAATCTCTTTCTTACGGCTATGACCCAGCTATTCCTATTGCTTAGTATTCTCGGACACCCATTCACTCGACAAGTTCCCAAATCAAAATACGGTTGAACAGGAAAGAGATCATATTCCAAATAACAAGGTTAGATGGAAGTAAGAAGCAAGTAAGAAGCACAATAGGCAAAACGTTAGTACATTTATAGTTTCTACATGAGAAGATTCTAGAGTATTCTCCAAGTATCGACTAGTGCTGATTAGATAAGAATTAGCCAATCAGCGTGCACCAAAGCAATCGTGTATTGAGCATGCTTTATTCCACTCTATGTCCCGCTAACAATTATCTACATAAAAAAGTGACTTAGTAACAATATTATAGACTGTAGTGTTATGTAACGTACTTTTGATATCCATCTGTAAAATGTATTACTAATGGTAAAGAAGTAGATGGATGACGTGCGATTCTGATTCCTGCCTCATCGCCAGAACAGTTTAATATCAGTATCTTCAAATATGAAACTAGATGGTTCATCATTGAATCTGTTGAGGATGCTAGATCATCAGAAATCACTTGGTAAACGTTTCATTTTGTAATTTTATTTTGAGAAGTTGAAGTTCTCATTTTCGAACTAAATGCGCACAGTTTTACCCTTAGTTTGTATTTCCCATGTAGAAGGATCTTAAATGTCATTGGTTTGTTCCCTTTTTTAATATGGTATTTTGTGACGATTCCTAAAGACATTTTTATATGCTTGAGTTATGTGATTGCTCATTCATGATTCTGACGTCTTGTGGAATATACTTTCCCTCAATTGAATCTGGTCTTCTCCCTCTAGCTAGCAAGGCTGGGGCGCAGTGAATAGTTTAGCTTGTCTTGCTGTTGTGTTGCTAATCCCCTGTTCAATTCCCCAATTTTCGGTGTAATCTCTTTGGGCTTAGCAGAATCGTTCAAAATACCCTAGTTCTCATATGATTAAACTTAATGCTTGTTGACTAATATCGACTAGAATTGAAACTAGGTCAATCAGAGTTTTGACTCTATCTCTTAACTTTAAATCCTAACCTGAACTTCTAGTCATGACTCGAATCCTTTTTAACATTTTTCTTCGTGATAAATTATTCATTTAGATTATTTGCATCATGATTGGCTAAAAAAACATTGTCATTGGTTTATCATGATCATTTCAGAGTTCTTCGACGTCGCCATAAAAGTCTAGTGTAATATTGAAAATTATTTGCTTTAATGAGTGTATTTAAACGGTTAAAACATTCTAATGGCGTTACTAGTTAGGAACTCGAGAATTGACTTAAGGAACTAAGGAACGGAGATAGAAAGATGGTAGAGAGATGAAAATTAAATCAATTAATGTGTATAACAATAATCGCTAAATGATACATTCAAATCATGAAGACATTGTACCTCGTTTTAACCACAATAACTGTTGATACTGGATACCAAAAGAGGAGATTGATTATGAATACAGTGGTCTTGAGTGCTGTTAAAGGTATGAAAGCAGTTATCACTTCCCGGTTGCCCACAGTGTGAAAGTGTTCTTCTAGAAGTACCTGAAAAAGAAATTAGATTAGAGATGGTCTTAGTGATCTGAGAGTGTGATCGCAATGCCCAGGGGACAATTACTTGAGGCCAGTTACACACGACCTTTTTGCGAGTAATTTTCATGCTAGCTCGGTGCTTGTTGGGATCTTACCGCTGGAGACAGAAATCTGTGGGATAAGGTGTGGTGTGTATTTTTAAGATTGACTTTTTCTAACTCCATCCTTCCTTGAGAGGAGGCAGCATCACTTCTATGCTGTTTGTTTGAAGAAAACACCCTACTGCTGTCACACATCTGTACAATCAGCAGTACGACTTCACCTTCACACCTTGGGTTTGCTGCTTTTAGTCCTGCGGCTCTTCAACTGAGCTGCCTGACTGGCATGGTAATACATTGAAGAATGATTTTATCAAGCTATTACAGCTCGATTGGTTCATTACAATACCGGAAACCAGTGCATTTTTCACGACACAAATAAAAATATAAAAGCTGATTCAGATAATAATTTACTACAGCCTTCAAAAACACATCGATAGTTGTTGTCATAACAAATAATAACTGGTACCAACTATATGACTTCACGAATCTCACAACACAAGTAAGAACATGAAAATATTAGATGTAGATTTATTTGGCACGGAAAACAAAGCGAAACGAATATCTCAATGCGCTAACGTAAATACGATTTACATTAATTACCAATCACGTTTATGTACTGCAAACTTAGTAGTACTCAACACTAATTAATCAAACGTCTATGTCTAACTCATATTAATTCTTTTTTTAGCAGTTGACATCATGAGTCAATTAAAGCTAGAGCACCATGAAAAATCTGGAAGCTCAAGACGGCTGTTTCATCCTATTGTGAGACTCCTCAGCAGTGCACATCCAGGTTTTCCATGGTGGTCTAGCTTCAATTGACTCATGATCTCAACTAGTGAAATTACTATAATATCTACGAAAACCCTTTTTGATACATATTAACTCCTTAAAATGTAATTCGTTGTTACAAATGATTGGAAAAGAAAATCAATTTTATAGATTACTATTACCTCAATCAATAAAATCTTTACTCTCCATACTGATACCGCAATATAAAACAGTCTAGCGATTAATTAGTTATGTTAAATCTTATGTTAAGTAAGGAGATGAATGATAGTGATTGACATCTTACAAAATACTTTCGTTGATTAAACTAACACAATTAGTCAAATATGTAATCAAGGATACCTTATATAATATGTAACTCATTACATTATAAGCAAAGATGGGTATCGGTTAACAGTGTAATCCACGCGTTTCGTCCTATTTGGGACTCGTCACCTGGATGTATCTGCATCCCACAGTTGATATTCACTCTGGGACTAGAGCCCAGTACCGTTCGCATCAATCGCCAACGCGTTATCCACTTAGATACTGAGTTCTCATGGACACTTGCTTGTGCAATAGGGTGAAGTTTAAATTCATTTGGTATTGTTAACTTGAATCTTCCCATTGTTATTTAGGACTGCAACTTTTCATTGTAAAAGTTTCATGTTTCTTTTTTTAAATTTTCAACAAACCAGTTTCTACGAAGAATATTTTCACTGGAGAAAATTGTGAGAATTACACAGTTTCACCTGAATTGAAATCTCCTATTAAACGTGTACAACGAGGTGAGTGATAGCAATTAAAATATTTATAAGTATCAGCATTAGGGTTGTGGAGATTGTTGAGTATTCGATTAAGATCATGAATCGATAAATATTAGACCAATAATGAAAACCTGAAAGAATTGGATGGCTGTTTTGTTCTAGTATAGGACTCCTTAGCACTGCGCATCGGCGATACTTCACTCAGGATTCGAACCCAGAACCTTCGGTCTTGTTACTACCTATAATTAGCATACGTTTGACTGGCGAACGTTTCCGCATTCACATTAAGAAAGTTTTGTGTTGTATACAAAACTTTCAGGACATCGATGAGGAGGTCATGGTACACACTATTATGTAGTTCTAAATTTGGACGAAGAAAGTATTCAGTAATTTTCAGTTATTTGCAGTGTCTAACCGATGTCAAATATGTAGCCGATTTGATGTTCACCTTAAACGCCTAACAACTTGATAAATGCCTAACTCATGATTCAAAACTTTGCTCAGCAGTAACTTAACTTCGTTGCTTTGAAATTTATACTAGGAAGTATAATTCAGGAAATTATATGACATAAATACTGTAAGATAACTTGTTTTAACCTGGATGATTGATATATGAAACGAGGAAAGGACTTTTCATGGGGCCTTTCATTTTGACGTCAATCAGATTGGACGATTTTACCAACGGGCTTACCATTTTAGTGGCCCAGGATCTGATTCCAATCGGATCATATGATTGATCGTTATTGAAATATACATGTCGTCAATCCTCATATATTTCATAGACTTAAATCGCATTGGTGAATAACGGAATTAAATAAGTCGAATACGAGAATGAATATTTTGAGTACGTATATTTTGTACATTCATTGATCTAGACAGACAATCAGAAGAACGAAACGAACAGAAGAGATCGAAGTGAAATGACGTTCAGTGGAGAAGGCGCGTGAGCCAACTTGATTTAATCAAGCGTTAATCGACATTTATGGTCACACAAAACATAAGCTACAGACATTTGATGAATAGGATAAGTAGTGTCCACACACACATACGCTCATATAAAAACAGTCAGAGTTGTTAAATGAATAATTAACAAGATTAAAACATGACTCAAGAAGAATGGATAAACTGGCCTGTTCAGAAGCTAGAATAAGGTAGATGAGTTTAACATAGTAACCAACGCTACAAACTCAGTTTGCATTTATACTACTAATCATCATCAACTACTCAAGATGAAATAAATTCCAAGGTACCATATTGAATTAGTTAGACCAATTATAGAATCCTTTCCATAATTCGCATTCACTGAACAATTTTATATGCAAAATTTTAAAATCCAAAGAATAGGATTATGTTAAAGGAAATCAGCATAACCGATAAAGTTTACAAACCTCGAATAGTGAGGTGTTCAGGTATATTGATTCACTGTCAAGGAGAACTGGTTAGCGTATTTTTAACAAAGTTGTTTTCTACGAGATGGGGTTGCCCAACCCTCCTCCATTACCCGGGCTTGTGACCGGTAGTAGCCCTAAAAGAGTTACAGTTGGAGTTCTTCAAGGAAAAAAAACTGGTAAAAAATATTTTATGAATCGTTGGTAATAGAAACTTCGTGTCAAACAGCTACCATCAATAATGGAAAATGAATGATAGTTGTCACATGACTAATCGGTAATCTGTTCCGAATCATGTTCAAAAATGTTCAGTGGTGACATGAACTACTGAGTGTGACTAAGTAGTATAAATTTTATACATAAAGGAAAGGTGATTGGTAATACAAAATAATCGAGCATACGACAGGGCAGTACCATTATACAGTCTGTTTAGTTTCAAGTATTCAGCGGTCATCAATAGGGATTCTCGAGCCAGTGATAGTTACTTATTGATGCTTATTACCAAGTTGTGTCCGTATTCTTGATGAGACATATGCTTATCCATATGATTTGAATCTGTCTTATACAATATTATTGTTATTAAGCAAATCGGGTATTCTTAACTTCTAGTTATCCAAATGATTCCTAGGAATAATGTTTCTCATATGGAGTTCTTAATGATAGATTCTTGTTTTAATGCCCTCTTCATTTTTAGAACCTTCACGTAACGCTATAACTGGTGAGAATTGTGCAACATATGATTATAATTCTGAAGTTAAAATATCAAAAAAGCGAACGCCAGTCAAAATTTCAAATCCATTGAATGGTGAGAATGTTAGCGCTTTTATGGTATCGCAAGAAGAAAGACCACGTACAGCTAAACCTTATGGTAAGTAAAAGAAATAGAGAAGATAATAACAAAACGAAAATCATTATCGAATGTAGATAGGTCTTTGAATTTCGTAGGGAGGAAACCATCCTTAATTTTACTTTTACTTACGCCTGTTACTCCCAGTGGAGAAGAAACCGCCCATCAGCATTCTCCAACCAACTCTGTCCTGGGACTTCGTTTCCGATTCTATCCAATTCTTGTTCATTCTCCTCTTGTCTGTCTCCATTTCTCGGCGTAATGTATTCTTTGGTCTCTCACTTCTCCTTTATTCAGCCTTAGCGATTCCAAGTGAGAGATTGCATTGTGACACAGTTGGGAACTTTCTTAATCTGTGTTCTATCTACTTATAGTGCTTCTTACTGATTTCTCCCTTTGCTACAATCTGGCTTATTCTCTCCCAAAGTAGATTGTTACTGATAGTGTCTGACCAACGGATCCCAAGTATTTTGCGTAGACAACTGTCGATAAACAATTGTATCTTCTGAATGATGGCTTTCGTATTTCTTCAAGTTTCTGCCCAATACAGTAGAATTATCTTCACATTTATATTGAAAATTCTGACCTTGGTGTTGTTTGATAGACAGATATTTTGAGTTTCAGATATTCTTCAATTGTAGATATGCTGCTCTTGCTTTTCCAATCCACACCTTCACATCTTCATCCAATCCACCGTGTTCATCAACGATGCTGCTCAGATATGTGATGATTGTTACATTTTCCAAATCTTCTCCATCAAGTGTGATTTGATTGATGCAAGTTGTGTTGTATCGGAGAATCTTGCTTTTCCCTTTGTGTGTGTTGAGACCTACTGCCACTAAGGCTGTTGCTACAATAGTCGTCTTCTCCTGTATTTTTAGTTGAGTTTGCGACAGAAGAGCTAGATCATTTGCGAAGTTTAGATCGTCCACCTGCATCCTAGTTGTCCTCTATATCCCGTGCTTCGGCCCATATGTTGATGTCTTCATGATCCAGTCGATCACCCGGAGAACGAGAAAGGCTGAGAGTAAGCAGGCTTTCCTGACACCGGTCTTTACGCCCAACGAGTCTGTCAACTATCCTCCATGCACGATTTTGCAGTTTAATCCATCATATGAATTCTGTATGATATTGACTATCTTCTGAGGCACGCCGTAGTGTCGAAGAAGTTTCCATAGTGTTGTTCTGTCTACGCTATCAAATGCTTTTTCGTGGTCAATGAAGTTGATGTAGAGTGATGAATTCCATTCAATTGATTGTTCCACAGTGATACGTAGTGTTGTGATTTTGTCGGTACACGGAACGTAGCCTGCTAGTCTTGAAGTTAGGCATCTATGGAGTCCTTCATTCCATTTAGAAACACCGTTTTATTGAGAAAAGTGTGATTTCTCTGTAGTTTTTACACTTGCTGAGATCGTCTTTCTTTGGTATCTTGATCAGGTGTCCTTCTTTCCAGTCTGTTGTTACTTGTTCTTTAGGCGGTATTAATTCAGTTATTAATTACTGGATTCGACCTTCATTCAGCTTATGGATATGAACTGTTGAGGAGTTCTACACTGAATAGAGATATGTATCCATTACTATTTAGTTCTCAGTTGTGATCTAACTAAGATCAATTCATGATGTACACTGTGGTAACTTATTAATACATACCATATTTCTTTCTTTTATTATTATTGTTATTGGTTATTTTAGTATACAGGAATACAGTGACTGGTGAAAATCTTCAAAGTTACAAAATAACACCAATTGAAAGAAATGTTACACCTAGAGTGGTTAAAGGTAAGTCTCACTTATGTACCATTTATTTATTGATTTGAACACATGAACATTGGTACAAGGAGGCACCAAATAGATGTGCCACATAAGTCATTCAATTTGTATGAGGGCTGGGATACTCTCCGAGTGCCCAAACTGAAGCAGATGGTTTTCTTAAATGGCCATACTCGAGGCCTTTGGCCTAAAGGTCTGATCCACAAGGCAGTGGAGCAACCTTAGGAGATACAGTCCCATGGTAGATGGCAGCCAACGATTGGTTCATATGCCATTTTTTCCGCCAGGATCCTGAAACCCATTGGTTTGAAATGAGCGTTTTCCGTTTCCCCTAGTTGGACTGTCCGTATCCACCAACCAGGTTAAAGTGCCATACATTCACTTTTCGTCCTCTCATTTTCGTGAACAACACCTTCGCAGCGAGAATGCATTGAGTAGAACTTCCCTGGCAGTGGTTGTATGCACGTGGTCATTGTTGGAGTGATCCAGAAAACTGTTAACTTTTAAAACATCAGTATATGGTTGTGGAGTCTCTCGCGCTCAACTGAAGGCCCTGAGTTTGAATCCGCGAGCGGGATCGTGGATCCGCACTGCTGAGGAGTGTCACAATAGGACGAAACAGCCGTCCAGTGCTTCCAGTATTTCACTCGTGGTTTAAAAACAATCGGTTCATGATCTCAATCAAAACTTTCTAACTGTAGTTCGCAAAATCAACGTGATCTGTTTCAGGGCTTGTTAGACAATATGTGACAAAAGCATTGTTTCTTTGATCTTTTTCACAATCCCTAAGCATAACTTTTATGCATGTTCACATAAATCTAGTATAGATCACAAATAATAAATATTAATTACTACCCTTAGCGTAGCGATTACGTGGTTAAGTTATTTGATCATTACAGACTTCACTATATCAAGATACTTTGAACATAAAGACTAGGTCTTGGACTTTGGATCGAAATTTATTAATCCATTTGGCTAATGAGCATTTTGATATACTAGCTGATGTTTTATGGAATATCGGTAGCACCTGATGTCAGTTCGAGATAAAAACTCTAAATATAGTTCCTAACCATCAATTGTAAATCATAATCCTTATTTTTCACACAAATTTATACCTTTCATTTAATCCTAATAAATAGGTGAACACTCTTAATGTCATTTTAGCGTTGCTCAAAGGTCATTCATAAATTATAGGTCTCACAGATTCATGGATAAATGAACATCTGTGCTTGAGTCCCACAGGGCGGGGTCGTGGATGCGCACTGCTGAGGAGCCCCATACTAGGACGAAACGGCCGTCTAGTGCTTCTATGTTTTCCATGATGGCCTAGATTTAACTGACTCGTGAATTCAACTAATAAATAAACACCTCATATTCATTACTACTTTTTCATTTTAAGTAGCATGAAATTTAACTGTAAAAATATCAACAGTGTACTCACAAATATTTAATTTTGATTTTGATAAATACAGATCGACAAAATCCATTAAGTGGAGACAATGTTGAAAGTTACACTTATCGTTTAGGGGAATCTAAAAGGACTGTCAAAAAAAGAGGTGAGATATAGAATATTCTTAATAAATATTAGTTTGATGCATTTTATTAATATCTCTCTGTATGTTCGGATGGTAAGCAGATGGCTACGAGGACTCGGTAGCTAATTGGATAACACGATGGTATTCGAAGCGAATAGTATTGGGTTCGGGTCCCGGAGTGAACATTAACTCTGGGATGCTTATACATCTAGGTGACGAGTCCCAAACAGGATGAAATGCGAGTCATACGGGTACCTATTGACCTTTTTTTAAGACTGAATTCATTTTACCATCCTATTGTTGGTTAAAAACAATGTCTTACTGTCTATCTTTTAATCATAACCTAATCATATAAATCAACTGCTTGAAGTTATGAACGAGAGTTTGACATATCTATTAAGAAAGTTGGAATACAAGACGTAAGTTTCGTCTAATATGCGACTTTTCAGTCAGATTTAACTACATTTTAGTATCAACATCCTAATATTGTTTGAAACCCAGTACTTACAGCTTCAAACACTAAGAGTGTTATCAAATGAGCTACTCATTCTGGACAGTCAACAACTTTGTAACGGAGATAAAGTTATTTGTGATGATTTATGTTTTTTTTTTCATTATTCATGTTAATAACGATAAATGATCAGTCAGATTATAAGTAGTAACTTACAATGAACCAATTCTCCGATACAACACAACTTGCATCAACCAAATCACAATCGATGGAGAAGATTTGGAAGATAAAAACATTTACATGTCGGATGCAGATATGAAGGTGTGGATCGGCAAAGCAAGAGCAGCATATTTATATTTGAATAACATCTGAAACTCAAAACATCTGTCAAACAATACCAATGTCAGAATTTTCAATGCAAATGTCTTGACAGTTCTACTGTATTGGGCGCAAACTTGCAGAACTACGAAAGTCATCGTCCAGAAGATATAATTGTTTATCGACAATTGTCTACGCAAAATACTTCGGATCCGTTGGTCAGACATAATCAGCAACAACTGAATGTGGGAGAGAACAAACCAGATTTCAGAGGAGGAAGAAATCGGTAAGAAGAATTATCAGTGGATAGGATACACATTGAGGGAAGCACCCGACTGTGTCACAATGAAAAGTCCTCACTTGGAATCGTCAAGGTTGAATAAAGGAGAAGTGGAAGACCAAAGAACACATTACGTTAAGAAATGGAGACAGGCATTAGAAGAATGAAGAACAATTGGATAGAACTGGAAAGGAAGGCCCAGGACAGAGTGAGTTGGTGAATGCTGTTTGGTGGCCTATGCTTCATTAAGAGTTACAGGAGTAAGTAAGTAAGTAAATATGAACTGAAAATTATTCCCATCACCGACTTGACCGTTCAGTTTATTTTCCCGGTACTAGATGACCATGAATTCATTTATTTTAATACCGACTATATATATCATCAATTCTAAGGCTTAATATAATCACTTGAATTGAGTACATTTTTAATGTTACATAATCTTTGTTTATCTTCAGTTTCTCTACTTTCTATTCTCATTATGTTTTACTTCTTTACAGATCTTAGTTCACCATTAACTGGAGATGGTTCACGTGGTCGTTCATATACTATATCTATTGAAGAAAAACATTTATCCCAACCAAATTTAAATATAAATAAACATGATTCAACACATCATACATTATCATCAAAATCTCTTCGAAATATATTAACAGGTGAAAATTGTATTACATATAATGTATGTCAAGAAATGAGAAGTGAAAAAGTTGACAGTACGACAGTGATGATGAATGGGAATACGCATAAAAAGTGTAAGATAATTTCTATTTATTTATTTAAACACATAAACATCGGTACAATGAGGCACCAAATAGATATGCGTGAGGGATGGGATACTGCCCGGGTGCCTAGACCGAAGCAACTGGTTTCCTTAGAGGGCTACACCCCGAGCCTTGGACCTTAAAGGTCTGACCCACAAGGCAGTGAAGCATCGTGAGGAGATACAGTCCCATGGTAGCTGGTGACCAACGATTGGTTCATACTCAATTTGTTCCTTCAGGACAATGGAGCCCATTGGTTAAGAATCCGGTTTAGGCGCCGGACATTCGCTTTTCGTCCTCTCATTTTCGTAAACAACACCCCCGCCTCGAAAAGGCAGTGAGTAAGACTTTCTTGACAGTGGCTGTACACGCGTGGCCGTGTGAGAGCATTTCGAGAGGTAGAGTGGGCCCATCCCACTCTCGGCCATACCAGGGCATTTGGGGGCAAGATAATCAACTTAATGATCTAAAGACAATGTAATGGTTGTGTAGTATGATATTATTAGATCCGAGGACAGAACTAAGTGTTAAGTTCACTGCTTACTTAACGTAGAATACGGTATACAACTACGGTACTAGAATTTATAGAACGTCCACAATTTCAAATCATAAGACAGAAGAAAACTTGAGTAGTGCTTGTTGAGTAACAATCAAAATGTACAGAAAATCATGGGTATTTAAACATATTAACGTTTGTTATATCGACATTCTAAATCAGCCAATTCGTAAAGAGATATGTCATGCTACTGTCCAACAGTAGCATATGACGTTGATATTTCAAAAAGCTCCATCACGTTCTGATTGAACGGAAACTCCTCAATCCCTTTAGAGCTACGAGAGGCTCTGTTGTAATCCTCGGAAGCCGTCCCAACACTAAGGATCTTCAGGTCTTGATTCTAGTATGTTGCCTTTGAGATATTGAGTTGTAAATTTATAATCTATATTATTACATCCAATCATTTTATGATACAAACAGACAGTTATCTTACTTCACAATTGTCTTCTCACTAGTTATTTGATTAAATCATTGATAGGTCCTGAGTTCGAATCATGAGGGGCGGGATCCTGGATATGCATTTCTAAGGAGTTCCACACTAGGACAAAACGGCTTCCGGGTTTTCCATGATGGTCTAGCTTTAATGGACTCATGAACTCAACTATTAAATTACTATAATATTCACATAAATACCCTTCTGATAATAAATCACATTAGTCACAGTTTCTCATAGTTACAAGCAAACTGAAGATAACTGTCTGATTTGAAATAATCGGAAGTTTACTTTAATGTTAAAATTGGATTTTACCATCATCTGAAGACTTCTCACTCTCACACTAGAATAAGACAGGTTTCCAGTACTCCCCAATTTTCAATGTTTCCTTAACTTATGTCCAAATTTAATGTTTTGAATTTTCTATGCTCATTAGATTTATGCTTAGTAATGATGTGAATACAGTTGATTATCCTCTATTAAGTTTACATATTCTGATCACAATTCATCATCTCACTTTCTTTTTAAATGCGCGGTTTGGGTAATCCAAATGTCAAATCGCTCGAGAAAAATGTGCCCTTAGGTTTACTGTTTCCTAGTCGGGTACTATCACTTTCACACATTAAATAATATCAAACTGATGAGCTTGATATCTCATGTTGTTTGTACTACAATTCAAATGGAACCAATGTCACTCATTTTGTTTTATAATCTTCACATTTACGGACTGAAGTCGAAGATGTAGACTGTTTGATGCCAATTCAATGACATTCTGATTTGACTAGTTCAAACTTTATTTCACCATAGAGGTTGATGTCTTAACTTATGAACGTAGTAGTACAGAGGATTTGTGTGTATTATTGATTTATATTGTGGAATGATCTTGAATAAAGAACAATTAAACATCACAAAATTGCTATATTTGAAGAGATTACAAGTTCACGTAATCTCCGAATGAAACAAACATACAGTGAAACAATGATCTAATAAGCTAACTAGTCCGATGTATCCCAGTCCCACTAACTCGAGATAGAAGTTCAGGTTCAGAAGAGGGAAATGTTTTCCACAAGCAGCCACAAAAATCACAAGCACTATTCAAGAGTATAAATACAGAACAAAAATGTTCTTGGTAAACGTTACAAAATAACATGTTAAGACAGGCAACGAACCAATGACATTTAAGGCCTCCTTTAGTTGGAAAATACGACATGAAGATGAAAGTAGGTGCTTTTGGCGCCTAAACAACAAAGTCAAAATTTCAAAATAAAATTACAAAAATAAGACATTTACCAAGTGAACTCTGTGGATCTAACATTTCCGACAAAAACACTAGATATCTATTTAGTTTTAGTACAAGGGACCTCAATAGTGTATATTTACGAACCCATTCAAAATCGAACCTAAGAAAACTTTGGACTTCATAGCTTTTTACCGAGAAGTCGAGACCCAATATCATATATTCCTAACGCTGGTTGAAGGTTGATAGACTCAAATATCTAAATTCATCTTGACTAAATAGCTTCAATAACAGAAAGAGGTGGTTTAATATAGATAGGTGTTACTATGACACTTAATCCACTTCATTTATCAAACACTTAGTAATCAGCCCTAAAATTATATCATCTTATTGTGTGACAAAGTAGTGTACTACTTATCAAATTAAGTAAAGAGAATTTTAAATGTGAAACTTTATGATCAGAAAACTGAGAGCATTAATAAGCAAAGATGGATAGTGGTTAGCAGTGGAATCCAGTTTGACGCACGTTTCATCCTATTTGGGACTCGTCACCTGGGTGTACCTGCATCTCAGAGTTGATGTTCACTCTGGGACTCAAACCCAATACCGTTCACTCCTAACGCAATCCCGTTATCCACTTAGCAATACACACAGTGTACACATATGCCAATAAGAGGCTAACCAACTGCAAACCTAAAAAATCAATGGGAGGGTTCAAGTAACAGTAACAAGTGAATTTGAGTTCTTTAATTTATAAACTACTGTACAAAACTTTAATGTAACTTATCAAAAAGGTACATATTTATGAATTTTAATTTCAAGTATTATAAATTGGTGAAGTTATGGTACTATACTAACCAAAGTGAGTTAAGTGGTAGTGTAGTGAATGGGAACACAGGTGGGAAAAGCCAAAATTACAGAATCTCTTGGTAAAGTCTGAGTAAAACATACAGTAAATACTTCATTTGCAAAATATCATTCAATAGTCTTACACTTGACTGTTCCTTCGTTCCCAAATCAATCACTCTATGTTCTCTTTCTCTTCGCTTTTATCTTCTTAACCTTCTGTCGTCAGGCATTCCACCTTCGATTGATGATACATACTACTTATATCTGTCGACATCGGTAGCACACACCGTAGATGGGAAAAATATCAAAGTTCTAGTGAGATAAGGTGATTTATGGAATTCAGTTACATTAGAATTATCATTAAGAACTCTTTAAGATGGTCGCGTTATTATCGTGAAACAGTTGATAATGAGATGGTGAACTAAGACAATCTTTACACGTCTCGGCGTAGAACAAAATACTCATGCAGTACACGCTAGTTTGAAAATTTACTCAGTTGATAGTATATCATGATGAACCGATCTCCATAAACGTTTGAAAAAGAAAGCAGTTGCACAGACAAACGAAGTGTAATACACTAGGCAGTGGAGCAGCATAAGAAGATGCGGTCCCACGGTAGTCAGTGACCAACAGTAGGTTCATATGTAATTTGTTTCCTCAGGATCATGGAGCCCATATGCATCAATGATTTGGAATCAGAGTTTTCCAACTCCTCTAGGTGGATCCTCCATGTCCGTTAACCCGGTCTAAGCGCCGAACACTCGCTTTTCATCATCCAATTTCATAAACAACACCCACGCCACGAGAAGGCATTGAGTAGGACTTCCATGGCAGTGGCTATATGTGAATAGTCATGTGAGAGCGTTTCGAGAAGGAGAGATGACTCTCTCCACCCTCGGCCATATCAGAGCATTTAGAGGTCGATGAATTTACCCCAACACATTAAAGTCATCATCATCATCTTCCGTTATAGATGTGTTCGATTTATCAGTTATTTTACAACTTCAAATTATTCATCTTTTATCATAGAAAGTCAATCTTGTTTCATGGTTATTTTCTTCGCTGTTTGATAATTATGTTACATTTTCATAAATCAGATATATCACATTAAATGTTTCAATTGTTGTAGATAAGTGTTTGATTGTTTAAAACAATTGGCTTATTGTAATGAAACAGGATTAGATTAATAAGGTATAATTTAGTCAGGGATTTTTAGATTAGAAAAAGGAAATGGAAAAAAACAATAATCTATTTTTATAAATAATAATAATCTATTTTGTTACCCCCCCCCCCCACTACACGCTCATTTTTATTGCTGTTGAATGTGACATGTTTGACTAAACATCTTTTTATGTGTAAGGCTGATAATAATAATAATAATAATAATAATAATAATAATAATAATAATAATAATAATAATAATAATAATGTCAATAACGAAACAGAATACCGGCGTAAAATTATATTGTAAGAAGCTAACTACTTTAATAAAATTTAAGTAGTTTGTAATTTAGAGAATAAAATGTTTGATAGATGAGGTATGTTTGATTAATATGAAGTTAAGCAGGAATCGAAGACTGAAGAGTACAAGAATTCGTTAATAGTTTGCAAATGTCACTTCATTAGGCGTTATATTAAAGATTTTCCAATAACTTAAATTTACTGACATGAACACCTATTCAATGATTGTTTAATAGTGAAACTACATTCACTACAACTGATTATTATAAATTTAGAAGTCAGTCATCATCAAGTAAAACTGATAAACTTAAAAGTAGACTTCACCAAGATCAATTTCATTCAACAATAGTTTGAAGCTAATAATTTAGTACACAAATGGTTTTTTTCCCTTTATTGTTTGATAATATAATTGGTCTGTTGTTTGATATTACACTGAACCAACTTATTACATCAAT